CTTTCCAAGAAAAGATTAATAGCGTTCAATACATTTGAAGTCACGGGTAGTGCTGGTGACAGTCGCAATTTTGTCAAGTGCAGCACGCATTAGTGCTATTGATACGGGGGAAAATAAGGGTGCGTTCCTTTGAGATAATCCGGGTCAGGATCAGTGATCCGAGATCACTCGGATCATGGTAGATGAAATGGACCGATGAATCCACTCTGGACAAGGATTCATGGGTTCATTTGATTTATCATGAACCAAGTGATCTCGGATCGCTGATCCTTATCCGGATCATCCCAAAGGAACGCATCTTTAGACGCGAACTTCCCGTACAAAAAGAAACGAAGACATGGCTGATAAAGGGTAGAATTTGGACGCGCTTTCGTATGAAAGGCGCGTATTATTTTTCTTCTCATAGATGGTATTTACTACCTGCGTCGCAGACATAATTAAAGTTCGGTTGGTAACTTCTGCGAAGCAGAGCCGAGATCCTTGTTGAGTGCCGCCAACAGACTTAACGAGTTACCTGAAGGGCGTCTCGTATTTCCTTTTAATCTGATTGGCAATTCGACAATAGCTTTTTTGAACAGGCCAATCATGGCGCGTAGTCAAATCCTGGTACATAAGTGGAGTCCTAGAACAAGTATTTCGGCGCAGCTTCGCAGACGGACTTAACCAGAATTCAGTTTCGTCCGTGGCGCAGGCTAGGTATTCACATGACCGTTGTAGCATTGTCTTCAGTGGACAAAAGCACAGGTTTCCATGCTAAACTGTCTTTTTTTTCCCCACGTTTCAGCTCCAAGACTTCTATAGAGGCAATCCACGGCCTGATGTCCCAAGTGATTAAAAACAAACTTTTCAATCAAGTCGGTGGGAAGGAAACAACATGACGGAAAAATACCTAACCAGTGAATGTGAAATCTTACAAGGTGATTGTATAAATTATTCTTATGCCTTTCCTTGACCTTGGGCCAAATGTTTGCATGTTTAAGGAAACAATGGACTTTGAAAAATAGCCGGAGTTGTTCACTTGCCCAAATTTTCTTTCAAATCGAATGAACCATAGTTAGAACTCAGGGTGCGTTTTTAGAACTCTCTCTACTGCGCTAATGATGTTGACTGGTGTTTGATGACTTCCGGCTTGAAACTTGGAACGTAAAGGCAAGTTGTTTTCCAGTTACGATCGTCAGACATGCCTAGTCATTCGTGGTAAAGAGCAAGTAATGTAGTGATTTAAGTGTACAAATATAGAAGAAAAATTGGACTGAATCTTCTTGAAACACTAGGAAGAGTGTTTCGTGTCGTAAATCAAACACTTACTGGTAAATAAGGTGGTAAAACGAGACTCAGCCGAAACATTTTTGAAATTTCTTTTAAGTTCTGGCCCAGGTTTAAATCGGGTCATGGCAACTGCAATTATTCGCGTTTTAAACTTCATTGCGTTTATTCCAACGCGCTCACTAGATCGTTCTCGCATTCATCTGAACAAAGGCACCAACTGAAGGCTTGGGTGATAAATTACGTTGACCTCGTTTCGTTGCCTGTGCTCACTGGAGCGGAATGCTGGAGAGCTCCATTTTTCAAATGTTGCTGATCTTTTCTGCTGTGAATTCTTAGTTACGTCACTCAAATTCGTCTTCGTGTGTTCACGCCCTACACACAAGGCCGTACTAGGAAATTTCACGTCGTAGTTATGCAGCGACAACGAGTGAATGTTCCGGAAAGTGTGATGCACGGGCAAAGTTGTTGTTTTTCTTTTACTAAACCTATTCCTTTGTTGACGTCCCACTGTCGGTTGCTTTGACGTTCCCTTTGGCGTCGTTGTCATGGTTGCTTAAAGGGGCCGTGTCAAGGCTGTGTAGTTCATTTTGTTAACAATAGAGAAATTAAGCATCGCGTTTACGGCAAACGTGAGATTGAAGTTGAGAAATTTTCAAAATGAGAAATGAGCAGACAAAAGCAGCTGAAAACAATTCTTATGGATAGAATTGGCGTGAATCTACCGATGTTCGTGTAGTTATAATGAACAGTAAACAACAAGTCAATGGAAAACTTGGTCACGGGGTACAAATTCACATTTGCTGTTTGCCGTAAACGCAGTGCTTGATCTCTCTAGTAGTTGATTTCCACTGACGCGTTTTCGGCTACGCACGTTAACGCACGTTAACGCACGTAAATTTTAATCACGTAAATAAAATAGAGGCAATATAAAAAGTGTGGAGCTTAAACGAGAAGTTGATCGAGGTTCAACTTTTACCTGTACGAGCGACCTTAACGCACGTACGCACGTAAAAATTACACAATCAACCCTAATGCCTATCACGCCGCGTCCGTATTCGTAATGAATTGTGAGAAATTACTTGTGAATGACAAAATCAGTGCTTCGTGTCAAACAAACATGTCTCTCAAGCATTAAATCAAACGTTACAAACATCAAGTATGAAGGTTGATAAACTGTTAGGCTAACAAGTTTTCAAAAACCATAATTGTAACCCGTTTCTATCTTCTTTACGTTTGTCCGTCCGTTCGTCTTTTTATATTTGCTCAGTTATTTATATCTTATTTTCATTTTCTGAGCAGTTATTTTTATATTAAATAAAATGATATGTGTGGAGAGAAGAACTCAGGGAAGAAATTCTGAGTTCTAGATGGGAGTTGAAGCCACTACCTTCCAGACGCTAGTCGGATGCTTAAACCACTGAGCTACTAAGAACTCTAGTGATGAGCAGGTCATTTGTGGGCTGACATAACGATAGCATCTAGCAGTCATACAGCTCCTTGAAGCTTTCTTTTTACTCTTCAGTTGCAGTTAAAGAAAGAAAGATCCTGGGAGCGCGGTTGCCATCGCGACAGAGATGATACGTCAGTTACCATGGATACAAGTACTAAAGTAGTTAACAGTGTTCGTTAATTTACAGTAAACAGCATTAATAAGCGAATTTAATCCTTGTGAAAAGAAAAGAAGGTTATGGTTTTGTTGGGTACGACTGTTAGAAATTGACGTGTAAATATGTTTCTAGACTTTTTGCATTCTTTGTTGAATTAAATTCAGCTGTCTCTAGAAACCTGTGTTTTTAAAGCCCGCAGATTCCTATTCCTAATCATTGAAACCGGGATACAACAGATTGGGTTGGATAGATCAACCTACTCCTGAAAAAGTCAAGTGACGGTCTTTGTGTGTCAGCTTTTATTCTCTTTTTTCTCTCCTGTATTATGTATTTTTACTAGCGCTTTTGAGACAAACTATAATGGGAAAAGAAACGTGATGGCTAACTGAATATTTAAAACGACAATTCCAGCGTAGAGCCTAATACGTCTACTAACAACGTTACTATGGAAATAGCCGATTTTACTTTGAAAACGTTAGGTCGAATGTATTTTTTGAAGGGATCACTTGATATCGTCACTCTAGTTATCTAAAAGCAAGTTTTGTATAGAAAGGTGCAAAAACTAAGTTTATCAAATTTGACCTCAATACGAAAAATTGCTGGAGAACTTAACAAAACAATTTTTCTCGTCACCGACATAGCCTGTGCAGCTGGTGGTATTGATTGTATGTGAGCGTAAGTGTTTTTGCGGCGAAGTTGCGAGAAGCGAACGCCGAAGGCGTGAAAAAATTCTCTTCCCTATTCTCCGCGCTGCTTCGCAACTCCTCCGCCTCAATGCGTTCACTGATGACCCACCAGCTACGCAGGCTAACTGACACAGCACCACAAGTGCTAGTTCATTTAGTTTGTACATAACCTTGAAATTTCCGGAATGAAAACAGCCATTATTAGGTATACCTGCGGCCTGTCAATAGACTGTCGTACAGGGAAAACAAGCAAGCGTATTTTCCATAAATTTCTTTCATTCACTAGGTGGTCGATTGAAAATGGTTCTTTGCGAATACAAAAGATGTTTGTCGATAGCAAATTGAACAGTGGCCCTTTGTTTTGATAGTGGTACTTATTTATCAGGAAAAATCAAAAAGGAGATTGTAAGGCATACAGAGAGTAAGCAAAAGCACAAGCTTAAAGAAAACAATATATAAAAAATCAGAACTTTGGGTTTTATTTAAATTTTATCTCTCCTACCGAACACAAGGCAGCGGAAAGCGTAGCATGCCACTGCAGAAGACTATGGAGAGAAGATAAACCTAATTGCGGAGAAAACAGACCAGGGGAACCAATTTGGGAAGCTTTGCGAAGATTTTGAAGAGGATCTGTGGCTGTTAGGAAATACTGCCACGCCGGGAAGGGCCGGTTGATCTTATTAAGCTAGTAATACTTGAACAGAATTTCATTTTGGCTTTCGTGTCTTACGTTAAACTGTTAGTACGATCAAGACTTCTTCGGTGTCCTTTGGAAATATTGAGTATACTCTCAAGGAGCACTGTGTTGCAGTTGAGTTTCATTTCTGAAGTAAATACCGTTTCGTTCAGTTGATTTTTTTAACGCTTGATTTGTGACTTTCGGCTTCTTTCAAGAAAACAGAATTTTTTCTTCAGCACCACGCTCCTCGGTGGTAGTTTTGTATAAATCTGCTGGCCCCACCGTAGGGCCTTTTCAGCTGTCCAAACCATAAAAATTAAAGAATTAAAAACCTGGAGGAAAAACGTTTAACACTGATCAACAAGAAAGGAAAGACATGAAAGAGAGACCGGATAGACAAAAGTGCAAACAAGGCTAAAAAGGAATAAATGTCACGGAACAAAACAAACCTGTAAAGTAATTACATCTACCATGGTATAATTTAGTAAAATAAACCGTAACATAAGAACATTAAAGTTTTGCTGCCGGCTTTCTTGCTGTGTATTCACCTGCTGGAGATGTCAGAAGACTGTTTACTGACAATCATTGTAAGACGGTCATGTTGTTAAACATGGCATGAACTTGCTTCAAACTTGTCGCTCAACAGCAAAGGGAGAAGAAGGTCGCTGCGATTATTTAACAGCTCGAGAGACAATTTCCTAACTCCTACCGCCAAATACAGAAAGAAAGAACAAGGTTTTTGCGTAGGTAAGAGAAATAATGGACCTGCCTTGTGCCCTTTTGTGGTCCTCCATTCCAGTTTGCATCTTTGGGTTTATTGGAAACGTGCTGGTTATTCAAATTGTGTACAAGTCACGAGTGATGCATACGCCTACGAATTTTCTTTTAGTGAACATGGCTGTTAGCGATGTCATCGCCATTTTGCTGTTTCTCATACATGACTTAACCACTTATCTTCTATATGAACATATCGGTGAAAATTTGCTTAACATCGCTTGCAAGTCTATTGTCGTCATTACAACTTCCGCAATGGTTTCATCTATAACTCTGGTTGTGCTTTCTGTAGAAAGGTATAATGCTTTGTTGAAGCCTTTCAACAACGGTTTACGGTTAAACGAAGACAATGTAAAGAAAGCCATCATTTTCATTTGGATCGCAAGCGCTCTTCTTTCTTTACCAAATTTTTTCCTTGAAACGTGGAGTGAAGCATACTCTACTTGCTCTGGTCCATTTAATTATGACGAGAGTCGAACAAGCAGAATTTATTTACTCGTGTATGCTGCAATATTCTACATACAAGCAACGATAATGTTTTTCTGCTACGGGTCGTTGATACGTGGGCTTTACTTCACCAACACAGTGTGTCCAGAAACGGATGGAGAGAGACGTTCGGAGAAAAGAAAGCTAGTTGTCACATTTCTCCTAGCGTCTGTGGGCTTTTTAATAGGTTATGGACCTGGTATAATTTTGGCTACACTGGTCGCATCCCAACATGGTGAAAACGTGGACTTTGACACGTACTATGTTCTCCTTAAAGTGGTTGAGTTTTTATTTGGGTGTAGTTTATGTCTTAACCCTATTTTCTATGCTTTTCGAAGTGAACGTTTTAAAGATGGCTTTAAACGTGTCCTGGGTTGTCGGTAAGCGAGATCCCAAAATGAGTCGCATCTGGATGAGTGAAAGAACGAAATGAATAAAATACCATGAGTGGGAAGACGTGTCCTCTTTATAATATATCTGAAAATGTTAACAGTAAGGTCGGACGTCAGCATACAAGGGCGCCACCGGCAGCCGCTATCAGTCCATTTATGAGCTCCATGCGCCCATGATATGAATGATAGACCACGCCACCGATGTGAAAGGTAGACCACGCCACTGGAGCAGAGTAGTGTGGGTTCTTTTACGTCCCCTTTGATTTGTCCAGTGAAAGAAGCATGAAGGAGACAAGACTAACGGCTTACCTTGACCGGCCAATGACGCGATCATCATAACTGAGACAAGGTCTAAAGTCAAAGCCAGCATGATCTCACCAGTTTTTTAAAGACCGTGGTTGTTGGTCCGGCCGTGGGATAACGTGAACTGAGCTAACCAAGCGTTCGTAGAAGTCTCTCTAATATGACGGACATGTGCACCTGGGAGACCGAACGTCGCTGTTCATTTTAGAAAGGTGCTCATCTCACGAAGAGTGTGGTGAAATTACCGGACAACTGCGGGGACTAATTCTTTCTTTGTAAGAGTCTATCTTATTTTGGTCTCCGTTGAAGCGGCTGTCACCATATTTGCTATCTTGTCAGAAATTTAACGGGATTTTGCCTCAAATGAATTTTAAAAATAATGATCTGGTTTTGATATTTAAGACTATATTTAGGAATTGAAACTGTTTCCTGTTGCCTAGTGCCACGGATGGCTAGGATAGACATATTACTCTACAGGGTAACTACACAAGAACATTTTTGGTCTATGGGAATTGGCATTAAGTAATGTTGTAAGCACACATTTGACTTAACATTGCAATATCTCCGTTCCGTGGCATATTCCCCCCCCCCGCCTCTCTTAAGAGAGAGTCAGAGAGTGATCAGCATAGCTAACATTCTAAGAGTGACATGCTTCAGTCCGACAAAAGTTTAACAAGTTATGCAAAAGCTTCAGTAACTTTACATCCAATTTTTTACGTCATTTATTAGTGTTTGGATTTTCAAGTGTACAGCAATGTGTTTGAATAGTCCAGTTGCGAAAAATATCTTCCCTGAAATGAAAATATATCACTGTTAGCAATTTTTATCTACATGTACTTTTAGTTAGTCAGTTGAAGATAGCGTAGACAGTTGAATTGAAAGCTTTTTAAATTCTAAGTTCCTCCGTATAAACCATTGCAAACAATTTAGCCTGGCAATCTCGTAACAGGCGGTGATCATCAAATGTGAAGTGCGGGGAACGTGCGACACATTTAGATTTGCAGGGTTGAATCTCAAGTCGGTTGTGATCTTTTGGTTAAGAACTTCAGTCAAAATGGCATCGCACGTATAGCCATTTACTCGTAGTCATAAATGTCAGTCGCCTCCACCCCTTAACGCGTGGGGGACGCGGATCTTGCGGTCGTCTGAATTCTCTCTTCCCCGCGCTCCCCACGGGTTTGGGAGTGGAGACGTTAGACATCTCAGAAAGATAACTTACTCGCTACATAATGCTAGGATGTAGTGAAACTGTGTGGCTCAATATACTTGCAGTAATATAGTATTGAAATGAACACTCGATATCGATCACACAGAGTGGCCATTTTGGGGTATCTGTTTGAAATTCTTATTTGTAAAATATGTTTAGTTGATGCATTCACAAAGAAGGAAAATGTGTGTGTAACAATCCCTAACAACATTGTTTCTAAAACGTGTCTTTGATAAAATCCTTCTCACCCCCCTCTACACAAGCTTGTACACAAAGTTTGTCCACTCTTCACCAACTCCCTCCCAGCAATTTTCGGGGGGTGCGATGCCGTATTTGTCGTACTTGGCGACGTCAGCACTACCACTCCAACATTCACCATAGTACTGTACGCCAAACACCTGCAAATAGATAATATATAGATTTAGCCAAGGCCAAAAGCGAAGCTCTTGTGGGATCTTTTAAGAGATGTCTTTCTGCAGTGATTCAACTTTTGCCGTAAGCGAGAAACAAACTGAATTTCTCCTGAAGAAAAAAGTGACCTAAGCCCGCGATAAATTGAAAAACAACAGCGGAGAACTTTCAAAACAAATCAACTCAATCAGTTGTGCACCTGAGCCCGCGATACAGACATGTGACACTGGTCAGCGGGTGCTCTTTTTTGACAGCTGTCAATTGGCCATAATATAAAGTTTAATACAAATTGTATGGGCCTTCGACTACGGGCTGGTAAGTGTGACATTTCACATCTGTTAACGTGAACGGGTGGACGTACCTACCGACGAATTTATCAGAACCAAAATTCCTTGGGTGCACAGATAACCAAATTTTATTACCCATGTTGCTCCGCTTCTCGCGCGAGAGCTCCGCTATAATACGTCATGTTCAATTGGGAGTCCGGCAAATGCCGCTCTTCGACCGTAACAAATGTTCGAAGAAGATACATGAAAGCCCAGTCAAGCAATCACAACATTGCGTTCACATTATCAGAAAAATGCCTCTTTAAGCTTGCAGAACAGGCGTTCTTTGAGCAAAGCCTTGTGGAGGGCGTGGGCTACCCGCTTTTCACACACCCTCCTCTCGCTTGCCTTCGCTCGCCCGTAAAACGTGAGAAAATGATGCCCGTGGGCTAGACATTCCTTTAATATTTTCAGGTATTGTGCTAGCGCAAGCCTGGAATTACTTATTTCCCTTCGTCGCAATAAGCATAATTAGCTCATGTTTCTAAAGGAAAGTTGTGACTGTATTACCCGGAGATCTTCTGCCCAGGATGTTTTCACCTTCGATTGTCGACCGATGTTCTTTTTTCTGGTCATGCGAAAGAAAACCTTTTTTTTAATCTTTTTTAAACTGGATTATGCATTCATATACAGATAGATCGTAAAGCAGGCCGTTTCTCTTTCGTAGGACAGGAACGCGCGAGCGCGCAACTTGAAAAACCGATTTTGAGGGGAAACAGTAACAGACTGTTTTTCAGTCTATTGTACAGATAAATACACCTTTTGCGCTTCATTATCAGGAAATAAATTTTCATTAACGAAAAAAAATCGGTCATTAAAATTACATCATCAGCAGTTTAGCTAAGGAAGCAATCACTTCATTTTGTAGCATTTTTAGCTCCTTTTTACTTGGGTTATGCGAATAGAAATTAAAAAAAAATTATTTTTATGAGCATTTTCTTGACAATATCGTGCTGGATTTTTGAGGCACGCTTTGATTCGGGAACGAAGTTTTGCAATGTGAAATTCGTATTGCAAACGACAATCGTATCGTTCGGCTTGAGAATTGCTGCCGTGGCTTGGACAAATTAGATACCTTTAGATTCAAGGGCTGAGAACGTTTACGAGTACGAGATTTGACTTCAAGTTTTTTCGCGTATTCTCAAAATTAGATACTTCATTTTTAAATTAGAAAAGGGCTGAGAACGACTACGAGTTCGAGATTTGATTTCAAGTTTTTTCGAGCCGTATTCTGAAAATGAAATAGACTCCCGGAAATTACGCTATTATTTGTTTTCACCCGCAAAGGTTTTTCACTAGGAAAATTAAGCTGAAAGCCACTGTTAACCAATCAAATGCAGAAAGTGAAGGAGGTTACCTTTAGTGAAGGAGGTTACACCCTCTCCCGAGCGCAAAATGATAAAACGTTTAACATTTGACATCTTGTTTCCGCTACTTCGACATTCTCGCTAAAAGTCGTCGTAAAATGACGACGGCTACCGCCTTTTCGTGCCAAAATGACGCTGGTTCACGCGCGAGCACTACTTACTGTAATACCGAGAAAATCTCGTACTCGTAGTCGTACTCGTCTTAGAATCTAAAGCTCTCTAATAACGTGACGTGCCTACAATGTTCAGTTTCGCCCATGTAAAGGATTCCGGAATCCGGGAATTCTATCTTGGAAATCTGGAATCCTGGGCTTTGGAATCCGGTATACAGCTCAAGGAATCCGGAATCCAGTACCTGGAATCTGGAATGCACGGCGTTGAATCCAGAATCTAACACTGTCTTGGATTCCCTTACGTGGGGCGATTCAGTTGGTGTAGTCGGGAGCATAACGCCCTGTGTTTTGTGTTGCTCGAGATGGAGACGAGTTTACATACCTCAAAATTGTATCTATTCTAGTTTCAGTAAGCTGACCATTAGACGAATTACCATGTACTAACCTTGTAATGTTGTTGTTGAGTCAACTTTGAGCATGCTGCCACAGTTTTTTCCATATGATACCAGTCAATTTGTTCCCGTATATTTTTTAACAATACTGGTAACGCCCGATCTCGAGTATCCCAGAAGCATCCAATAGCCTCCACTGTAAATGATGAAAAACAGAGCGCAACATACACGAAATATTTCAAAATTTGACTGCAGATGTTAAAATAATTGACATACTTACAACAAGGACTCTCTTTGAAGCTTATGTCATCCAACCCAATGTCAGCCCTGAAATTGCTTCCACGAACAGCCTCGAATTCTACCTAATTAAGAACAAAGTATCATCAGTTTTATCATTTTCATTATCTTTAGTATCATTATTTTTATCATTGTCATCATTTTTATTTTTAAGAAACTGCCCAAGAGCAATGAACGATCATAAAATACCCTTTTCCATATACAGGGGAACCAAGATAAAACAAAGGGCTAAGGAATCGGCAAAATATGCATTTCGCGAAGTTTCGTTTTATTGTGAATCTTTTTCATGTATTTTACCAATACCGAGGGGAAGAATATCGTTCGTTATATCGAGGACACTTTTAGATAGAGGTTCGTTATATCGAGGTTAGCGGATCTGCAATGCCGACAATGACAGGATCGTAGCCTTGAGACAAGACTTTTATTTGTCAGTATTAAGACATAATATGTGAGCTCGAAATGTGATCCTCCGCTCTGAAACGTAATAAAAAAATATAGTTGTTCTAGTGTAATTAATACCACGGTACCCCTTCTCAAAATACATGAAAAAATTACCCCTTTGTACTCTAAAAACTAGGTTTTACTTGATAGTCCGAATCCATGTTTTTCAGAGTAACTTGTCCCATTTTCCATTCATCTCCTTGATCGCCAGATTTGCTCCAGACCTTGGTCCTGGATCCCCCAACAGGCTTAACGTAAACATTCAATTCTCCCATCGCTTCACCGTACATGTGGTACCAAAACGTCAAACAGCGTCCGATGGACGGATTGAAGTTCCTGCTGACCAATGCAGCTCTATCCCCTTCTGGAATACCACTTGCTTCCACGTACAAGTAATGACCTTAACGGAAGAACACTTGTGGTTATTGTCAGCGCTATCGTCATCGAACGCTCATGATTTGGATTTTAATGGTGGCCTTTTGGGTACTTTGATGTTTCTCTAGTTCCAAACGTGTATTGTCGGGTAGCTTTATTGCCAAGTGGTGAGGTGGCAGCAGAGCTGTTTTCAATGGAGATGGGTTTTGCAAACGCGCAGTTTTGTCTTGCTGCATGGGCATTACCTTTACTTCTTCGTTACATTAGGTGTTGCCCCGAGGAATCGAGCTAGCGGCCTCCTGCTCTGTAGTCTAGCTATTTACTCCGACTAAGCTATCTTTGAAGCTGGAATTATTTCTTTATACATGTTAATAGTGACATTTAAAGGGTAAAAATTACCAGACTCGATTTCCTTTCTTGCCCGCCTCTTGCAACAATCGTTCCTCGATCATATTAAGTTATTACCTGACCCAGAAGTGTGGTCTCCGGATGGTCCAGTGTTACTTGAAGGCGTTCCACCCGTGTTACGTTCCCAGGTGAATAAAGGTGGGTTAGATTTACTATTCGTCCAATGGCACATTTGGTCAGAGTCAAACTCGCAGTCATCCGGCCCTGAGGAATACAAAGGGCACTAAATTGGCGAAAAAGGCATAGAAAGTATGGAGTGAGAGTAGGAAAAGTGAGCCGCAAACCATAAAAGCTCTGCGAAAATGGGAGCCATGTCCAGCTCTGGCCATGAAATCCAGAGTTTTTCACTTCTTACTAAGTTCCACACTTCACAGAGGTGTGGAAGTGTGGAAAAGTGTGACAAAGTTAGGATATTGTCCCTCTTTTCTGCCAGTCATGAACCGCTTGTCATTCTTTACTTAGTTCCACACTTCTCACCAACTCCTCGCTGTCCTTTGCGTCAAACTTCACATATGAGGAAAGTCCAGATTGTAGACGGAAGCCGGTGCGAAAAGAAGAAAGTATCTTCACTTACCGATTCCGCAGGACTTAAGCTTGCAGGATTGTGAACTGCTGGAGTTCCCGACGCAATTCTTCCCGCCATATCTTGGTGGAGGGTCGTCACATGACCTCGACCTGTGATGTGTTCCAAGTCCACATTCAGCGTCACACAGGCCCCATGATGACCAGCGACCCCAGTGACCGTCAATTGGAGCTAAAGAAGAAAATTTCAACAAAGACGTATTTTTCATTTTTCTAAATAATCAAAAGAGCCTTTTATAGTTTCAAGTAATGACATTTTTTTCTTAAAATGGCGACATTGGCTTTATTTTTAACAGTCCATTTTGTTTGCCTTCACTTTTGAACCGGTGTGTCCTAGAGGTCTCGTGTGTCGACCATGAACACATACAGGCACGACTTTGTCATCCTGCCACTGGTATGCCAGAGTGTCTAAAAAGGGTAACACAACGTGAGGTTTGGGCGTGGGTGCCACAACCCCATCATTTGAAAATATCACTGGTGCATTAACAGCACTAACAAGCGCGGGGTGTAGAAGTCGTCGGGCTTTGGCGAAAAACATTGATGATGATGATGATGATGATGATGATGATGATGATGATGATGATGATGATGATGAGGTGGTGGTGGTGGTGGTGGTGGTGGTGGTGATGATGATGATGATGATGATGATGATGATGATGACGACGACGACCTTCCTCCTATTTCGTTCCCGTTCCATGTTCTACACTATCTCTAACTCAGGCTTACCGAAACACTCTTTATCACTGCACTTGAGACTCTCTTCTTGCACACCATACTGATCAGCGCCAGGACAGTCCCTGCTGAAGTCACTGGAGGTACAGAATCTCTGGCGCTGTTTATAACAATACGTACTACATGGACCAAAGTTTGACCAGGAACTCCACCCAACCTTTACTTAGTGTGCAGGAAAAAAAGTAAATAAACAGAGCTACAATCAAGGACATCTAACTTGGGTCACACAGCTCTGGTACCTCCCTTTCTCCCTTCCAATGTTGCTTTGTGCTGGTTTTTTTTATGGATTTGTTCAATTTCGAGGCCGACATTGAAACGGAAGGGAAAGGACATTTGGCATAGTAATGCCTAGAACAACATCTTCAGGAGTAACTTTTAATGCTGTAAGGAATTTCTTAAAAACTGGTGACAAGAAATCTTGTTACTCTTTTAAATTAGGAACGTGGTGGGTTTCTTTTTACCTCCGGAATTCTCTTGGGCTGATTTTTACACAAATATTTGTGGCTTAAATTACAGTCACAATTGTTGTTTCGCACTTTTTTTTGCACGGATAATTGGCTTATATCTTAAATTCAAATGACCATACTGATGACTGAGATGGAATATGCTTTTAAACACTCAACAGTCATTAGAAGTGTTTTTAGAACAACTAGGAGCTGAAACAAACGATTTAAATTCAATATTTAAAAAGGCTATTATTAAAACTGTCTTGTCGTTCTTTCTTTTTTTCGGTTTTGTTTATTATTTTGATTATCATGCAGTATCGTTATCATTATCATCATTTTCAGTACTTTTTTTTGTCGCAGTTTCGGAAAAAGGTTTATTTCTCTTACTGGAGCAATCGTAGAGTGCGTTGATCTCATGAATATCAAAGTCAGTTAGGCCTTCTCTCTGCCCCAGGGGGTGGCTGGGATTCAGGATTGACCGAATGGTGTCTTTTCCATTTTTGGAAAAACTTTTCCGTCCGTAGTGCATGATGGAGTCAAAGTCATATGGTATCTTGAGCAAATCTATATCACTGTGGCTGTATTTGTTAAAGTTATGCTCTTCCTCTGAAAAGAAAAATGAGATAATACTAGATAGTATATCTCTCGTTATAAAGAGTGCAGGCTCATTTAAGTCAGGTATGCCTGTCTGATGATACCACAGAGTGCCAGAACAATTGTCCAGGGCCCGGTTCTTGGAAGGCCGATAAGCAATAATCCATGATTAAAATTTTGTTCCGTTTTTGTATTTTATCTTCCTATGTATTGCTTAGAGTAACACGTTGTGTTATTTGTATTTCGTAGTAAATGGTTAATGGTATTTTGTAAGCTCAAGTTACATGTTCTTAGACAAGAAAACCTTGCTCAAAATTTGGCCTACTCCTGGGTTAAACTTAACCATTTTTCGAAGAACCGGGCCCAGGGTAGCTGACATGTCTTCACTTGGTCTTTTGGGAATAGATTAAAGTGCAAGGCTATAATATAGGGTAGTTTCCATTCCAGTGTATACGGGTTAAATAAAGACGAAATTTTATTTCTAGTAACGTTTTCATTTTAAGCCACATTCCAAAAGTGTTCAATTCTCTGTCACTTGATCATATTTATAATAATTTATTCATTTAACATACTAGGTAATACTAGGCTTTTTAACATACTAGGTAATCAAAAGCGCATTACAACAATAAGAAATATAACAACTGCAACAACAACAAAACTTTATTGGTAATAACTTTATAACTGACAAAAAAGCACTGTCCGCAGCTAGCAGAACTATTTGAATCGGGTAGTGTTAGGAGGCCTGATCCAGGATGTTCGCTTTGTTGTGCTACCAAAACTGAGGTTCGATCAGGTTCAGATTAAGGCGGGATTTTCGCTACCAACGTAATTATAGTCACTATAGTGCCATTGCAATGGCTGTAAATTTACTTCTGCCAGGATCCTTGTGATCAAACCACGATCAATTTTGATTTTTAACCTACATGGAAAAAGGCAATTGATGACTTTCCAGCGTACCTGTTATTATGTTCTCCCAGAGTACTTCTACATAAAGATTTCTGTCCGGTCGCGATTGTTCGTGCCAGAAGCCAATAGCGTGCATCAACTCATGCATGATGGTCCCTTTGTGGTTGCAGCCTTTACCAAGTGAAAGCTTTTGCCCAACTCCTGTCATCCAGTACTGGCGACCAACAGAGGACCAGCAGCTAAAAATCAAGTAACACTTAACGGAAATCCTCTATTAAGCCCCCTGGGGGGGGGGCTTATTTATTTCAATCACATTTGAGGTTAAGGGGGGAAGGTCTTTATAGAGACGGGGAGCTTATTTAATTTAGCCAAGACGATAGTGATCAGTTCTCCCGAAAGAACTAGAATACAGAGTAGAAAAGCACAAGTACGAGAAGTTGGAGGTCATACAGATTTGTTATGATCCTCGAGAACCAATAACAAATCCGAAGTGCCAGTTGGTAAATACACCATCCTGGATCGATTTTTGAAGCAAGGACCAGCTTGCAAAATAGAAGGACCGGATCCTAATGAAGGATCTAATCAGCAACAAGTGAAAATATAAAACAAAAGAAGCAAGGCTGATTTAACAGTCGGGAATATATATATAAAAACATTTACTGAAATTTCGGAAGGCACGGCCTTCCTTCTTCAGGGTTTTACATATAATGGATTAGACTTGCTTACAAGTCGAGCTTTTGAGCGCGTAGCGCGACTGTGAGCGCGAAGCGCGATCGTACGAGCGCGGACCAGACCAGAAAACCGAGCGAACGACTTTGAGAAAGTCTAATAATGGATCAGTCCACATAAAGTTTTACAGTCGTGCTTGATAATACGGTGAAGTGAAGAATAATAAGGGGGAGGGGTGGGGTGTTCTAAAAAGGAAGCGGGGACTTATTAACTGTCTTCCCCTGAAAAGGGGGGCTTGTTCGAGAAAGGGGGCTTATTTGAGATGGGGAGGCTTAATAGAGGATTTACGGTATATCAGAAATTTATGTACAAAAGTGAGCCCCGCGCGAGAACAACAGTGACTTTAGTCACACGGCTGATGTCGGTCAGACTGAGAACCGATCAAAAGAAAATTGCGTTGGGAGGTAAAGCAAAACCTTTGCAAGGATTAAGCGTAAAGCAGAAGCTTAGTTCTTGCTAAAGTTTTAGGGTCAAAAATTGACAGGATTTGTAACCATTACAAACGCGAAAGGTAAGACTGTCAGTGCAAAATAACACTGCCGTCATCAACTTTTTGCATTAGAGGGAAAGTCGTGTATACTGACAGTTCGTAAATGGCATTTTTCATATTGTAATCCTGAACCTTTAGTCATAAAGCAGTGGTGTGTGATATACGTCAAACTACCGCTTATCTGGCAGCGTGAGGATATTTCTATACTCACTGCCCCTCGATTATGTCATGCATGATACAGGTAACTCAAATGGAAATATGGGTGGACTTCAGCCTAGTCCCCTGGCGTTCTCTCTTGATCCGTTGTCTGCGCGAAGTCTGGGAGAGAGTATCTCTCGGCGAGTATCTCTCGGTGACGTCACAACTCATGGTAGCCGGTCCAGGAAGGACCGAGCCGAAAACGCCTGGGGACTTAGGCTGGGTGGAATTGTGTTCCAGTTGGAATCCTTTTCTATGGAACCTCACCTGATCTACTAACTCTTACCCTTTCTCTTGAACAAACTTCACAAAGAGGTCTTCACCAGTTCTTGGTTTAAAGGTCAGACATGTTTTGTTTTCATATTCAGCAATTGCTTCTTGAATAGTTGATTTAAAGGCATCTGAAGTGAAAAAAAAGCAAAACCAGCAAGTTAATGCTTAAGTATCTGTCGTTGGGAATTTTGGGGTTTTAACTGGGTTGCATCTAGCCTGTTCCAGGCTCCGAGCTAGTTGGGTCCGCGGAATGAGAAAGCAAAAACGTGAAAATAAAACCGGAGGAAACTGTGGAGAGGAAGGACGGCACACCTGTTCCCAGATCACGTGCTCATATTTTCGAGTGCCTTTCAGTTACGCGTCATCTCTACTATATGTCTGATAGCCTGGAACAGGCTACAACCAGTTGCAAAAGTACTTGAGACACTGTACCGTATATTTTGGTATAAATGGCCTGTCTATGATCTTGTACTTGTGACCCCTTCGACCCCTTATCAAGGTTGCTAGCAAAACAAGACCATACTCAAAACGTGGAGGAACAACTTTGAATGGGAGGAAGGAGGGTGGTCAGTATTGTATCTCACAGACCTGTGACCAGGAGCGATTTGAAGCAAGAAAGGTTGTTTTTTCGTGGGAGTGTCTCAACATTTTGGCAACTGGTTGTAGCTTATATCCCGATGGCGCGGTCGGACGAATTGAGAGGAAGTAAATGAACTGTATAGGTATATACCACTGTATGTTATTAGTGGTGAAAACGTCTGACAACTGTTCTGTCTAAGGATTATAACTAGCAAAGATTTTCCATTCCTTTTTGGTAATAATACAAAAATCGGGAATCTGAATCTGAGGCTGAATTTTTCGATTTCTATGTATTTTGGGAGCAAATTACAAATTGAGCCAAGTTTTAAACACGCAAAGCTTAAAGAATGCAATAAACGGACGGTCGACTCGGCTTGTGACAAGACTCTTCGCTGTGACGAGCTCAACTTTATAGAGACGGTGGAGCACAGAAAAGAGTAAGGACAAGCCAATCGACAAATCAGAGGTGGGTGGTGGACCGGGTGTCTGTAAAACGCGGACCGGATACCTGCGGATGGCGGATGCGGATGGGAAAATGCGGATAGAAAAATGCGGATGGAAAAAAAAAAATGCGGATAGCAGAAAAAGTAAGAAGAAAAAAAAGAGAAATGTGGATGGCAAAAAAATAGTAATAATAATAAAATAAACAAACAAACAATTAAGGAAAGAAATCTTTCTTTCAAGTCGCTTTCACATGGTTGAACCCTTCACTTACATACAGAAAGTGATGCCAATAGTTGACACAGTTATTTTGTACCCTGTAATTCCTTTCATTAAGGACGCTCCGTTCCTCCTCCTTAAATGCACGCATACTTGGTGCACTTCTCCTTTGAGTGTTTAGCCTAAGGTTTGCAGGCAACGTAAACAGCTCAAAAAATCGACTAGCAAAGGTTTGCTTATTTTGCACTGGCCCCGTTTAATATTCTCCTCTTTACCAAATAAGGAGCCAGTGGTCCCTGCAATCACGGGTCAGAATGCAGAATATTACCATACCAGCATCCTAAAGCGGTGTAATTCACGAAGCAGTCTGTCTTTACTTTCGGGAGTGATCGCTATTTTTTTTTAACATTTACTTTATTAGGAATTTCATTGTTATCACGCTAAGAAGGGGAGGCATGATTTCTTTGCTCTCACTGGATATAGTGTACTCAACTTACAGAAAGAATATTCTCAGGGCAATCAAATCAAGACTTGTTTGTTTGAGCGGCTCAAGACAGAAAAAATTGCAGTATCAACCAGAAAAAAGGCCGAACGTTCCGATTTGGCGGATGCCAATCAACTCCTCCTAATCCGCCTGATTATTTCCCGAAAAGGTGTAAAAATAATCTGCAAAATTAAACTCCCGCAAAAAAGTGTCGCGTGGAAACGCATTAATGAAGGCTACTTTCTGTTCCATTTGTTTTTGTTTCGAATTTTTCTGCTAGCAAAATAGTTTCGAAAACATATCCTCAGTGAGTTTTTAGAACATCTGTATCGAGCAACTTAAAACTCGTTTTTAAAAGCGTGAAGGGCAGAATTCGGAATCGAAAATAATTTATAATATTCGAATTATTTGGCCCGCTCCGTCTATCTGCGAAGCAGCAACCAAACATATTTTTTCTACATGGAAAGATGTTTAATTATTAAAAATCAGAAAAAAACCAAGCTGCTTCTTAAGAAGACTATATAAATTTTTTAGCTATGTCTACACCAGATCAGCATTTTTTATATGTTGATGGAAGCTTTTCGTAAAACTGTGAAAATGGAACGAAGGCCAGAAAAATGACTTCGTTGAGAGTGCGGCATATTGCTTGAAAATGAATTTCTGTAGAAAAACCCTCATTAAACAAGACCGATTCACACAAAACCGAGAGGACATTGTGTAACAGAAGACCACTAGTGTAACAATAGCTTAGCTTTCGATCTCAAAAACGGGCTTCTGCAGGTGTCTGCAGTTCACAATCAGTCTCTGAACTGTCTGCTATGGCAGAGTCGACCAGAGTCAAGGCAGAGCGAAAGTTGATTTGTATTATCAGCCCTTTTGAAGATCAGGCTCCTTTGTGAGGAAACATGGCGATTTAGCGGAGGCAAGCGTGAAATAGGCGACGCAAAGCACGCCGATTTTTTCGCGTAGTTCACCCTATTTTTGGGTTTAGTTTGTTTTCTCTAATTTTCTTTTAATTTGAGGAAATTCAGTCCTTTTCTGTTGTTGTTATCCGAACAACGTTATACACGTTTTGTTTTGTTAAGAAATGTTTGAGTGACACAATTTATATATCCAAATTTGTGTTTCTTTGTTGTTGTTCACAATTTTTTCTATCCTCATTTTCCCATCCGCATTCGCCATCCGCAGGTATCCAGTCCTCGTTTTGCAGACACCTCCTTTGCTAGCCGATTTTTTGAGCTGTTTACCTCGCCTAAAAGCCTTAAGCTAAACACTCAAAGGAGAAGTGCACCAAGTATGTGTGCATTTAAGGAGGAGGAACGGAGCGTCCTTAATGAAAGGAATTACAGGGTACAAAATAACTGTGTCAACTATTGGCATCACGTTCTGTATGTAAGTGAAGGGTTCAACCATGTGACAGCGACTTGAAAGAAAGATTTCTTTCCTTTGTTTGTTTGTTTATTTATTATTTTTTTTGCCATCCGCATTTCTCGTTTTTTCCTTCTTCCTTTTTTTGCTATCCGCATTTTTTTCCATCCGCATTTTTCCATCCGCATTTTCCCATCCGCATCCGCCATCCGCCATCCGCCATCCGCAGGTATCCGGTCCGCGTTTTACAGACACCCGTGGTGGACCTTTCCCCAAGCCCAAACCCTTGTCAACATGACTAGGATCATTGGGTCACAGTGCTGTTCGCAGTTTGATGAAAATTCATTCAGGTTTTCAAGGTAAAATTCTACCAAGACGTTTCGGACTTGTCCCTTCGTCAGTAGAATGCTGTTGACTTTGTTACAGCTGTATGCCATCATAGTTACTAAGACATCCATTATCAAAGAACGGTTGTGTAATTTGGTTGGTATAAGTGAAGGAGAAACGGACAAGAAGGATTTGACCTCCGTCTAATAAGAACTCAAATTTTCCTTCTATGGCTCTTTTTTTCACGTCTTTCACGAGTTGTATATGTTAACAATTTGCCATGCTAGTGTCTATCCCGGTAAGCGGATTGTTCCATACTTGTTTATCAACCGCTTAGGTTGATCGTACATGTGCTTGGATTATATTCTGCAGATTTAATAGTGGAAGTATTTGAAGTAAATTCTCAGCAGTCTAGTCGGTATGACACCCGGGTGAGGAACTATATAGTCTCCCACGTAGACATTCTTAAGGGTTCGTCACGAGTTCTTGCCCCACTAACGTCTGCTGAACCGAAAAATGCATTCCTTTCCTATTGTTCAAAAATATCAGCTGAAGATCACATGCATCACATCTATAGCCTCCCACGTAGACGTTCTTAGGGGTTCGTTACCCGTTCCTGCCCCACTAACGTCTGCTGAACCGAGAAATACATTCCTTTTCTACTGTTCACAAATATCAGCTGGAGACAGATTATCGGAGATCCAATCACAAGCCAAACACATACGTACAAGCTCGGTAGGGTGTGATACGTGACCAAAGATTTTTGCTCCGGACGAGAATCTAGGAGATACGCGCTGGCTTTTTGTATATTTCTCTCTGTAAAGGCTGGATTAGATGTCATTTGCTCATAAAGTTGTTCTTTCGGTGATGGCACGACGGGGTTACCTTGTAACGGACCAAAAGGCAGAATTTTTTTCACACTTAATTGTTTTGTAGTAAAGCCGACTTCCGTTCAGCAAATTTAACCTCCGAGGCAATTTTTTTTCAATGATATTGTGAAGGTAACCTCTGGTACGAACGCTTGCGAGTTAACTGTGTAGTTTTTTCTAAAACTGTAAGGTCTTCACCTTTCATGAGACCTTTCTGATGTTTTCTGGGGCTTAGTCAAGCGAGTACACTTCCCAGATCTGGAAGTCTGCTGTGATTGGTCTACGTTATTTTCCGCTCAAACCAGCAGACGTTAGTGGGGCAGGAACGCGTGACGAACCCCTTGGAACGTCTGCGTGGGAGGCTAAGCACTATACGGAAATTAAAGGCTCCATCCGAAAAGGGTACCTACATTTCAGGCGTCAGGTATATCAAAGGGCAGGGAATTCACGAGTTGAAGTATATGGAAGGGTTGGAAAATCTATCATTAAAGTATTAAAAACGGCCTTTAATTGAAATATTTCGAAAAGAAGCTCTTTATGGCTATATCATTTTATAAGTGAAGAATGATCATCGCAGTAAATTTTCCAATTTAAACAGTTGGAAAGAAGAGGTCTGAAAATACAATCAGGGCTTCAACGGGATTCGAACCCGTGACCTCCGCGTTGCCGGTGCGTTGCTCTACCAACTGAGCTATGAAGCCACACATTGGGAGCGAGGTCAATTTATTGAGTTCATATCTCCCGTGAGGAGTGAAATGATGTGAAGTATATGAAAATAATTAATTTTTGAACTGCGGTTGTAGATGAAAGTGAAGAATGATCATCGCAGTAAACAACCGCAGTTCAAAAATGAATTATTTTCATATACTTCACATCATTTCACTCCGCACGGGAGATATGAACTCAATAAATTGACCTCGCTCCGAATGTGTGGATTCATAGCTCAGTTGGTAGAGCAACGCACCGGTAACGCGAAGGTCAAGGGTTCGAATCCCGTTGAAGCCCTGATTGTTTTTTCAGGCTTCTTCTTTCCAGTTGCTTAAATTGGAAAATTTACTGCGATGATCATTCTTCACTTTCATCTACAACCGCAGTTCAAAAATGAATTATTTTCATATACTTCACATCATTATATCATTTTAATTTATTAAACCTACACAAAATGAAAAGAAGACTTTCTGTTTGCTTTTTTTAAAAATAGAAGGCATACGAAAGGTGTACCTTTAATGTCAACACTGGTATGTAAAAGGGTAAGGGGTTGGACCTCGGGTCGGTGCCCCCCCGAATAAGATTTTGTTGATTACTCCCCCCGGCGGTTGGGGGTATAACATGTCCTACCTGGAAGGCTGCTGTCGTACTCATAAGGAATAACACGTGTAACCCACACCTTCTTTCGATTGCGAGCAGCGTTACGCTTCTTTCGCCCGATTAATTGCTGTCCATCCACATCACCATCATCTCTCAAATCAACGACATCATCAGGAGATAAATCGATATCTGCCTCGTACAAGTTGACGTCATTATCTGGAAAGTAGAGAAAGCCTTTAGTTTTTGCGTTTTTAGACTGATTGGACAGTGTATCAGCAACAATATCTTTCGCTCCATGAAAGGTAATGTAAGAGAGTCTTGGATTCTCGATTTCACGCTGTGGATTCCGGACTTGAGGTACTGGATTCGGGAGGGAATCCTTGTCAGTGAACTTGGATTCCAAATTCCAATCGTTAGTGGGATTCCGGATTCTTTGAGCTGAATTCCAGATTCCAAAGCCCAGGATTTCTGACTCCACAAGTCCTGAACACAGAACACCCTGAGACCAAAAACTGAGTTTACGAGACGACGAGCTGTAGCCCCGTCTACGCTCCATGCAAGGGACTCCGGATTCCGGAATCGGTGGAATTTTTGCTTGTGGACCGAAATCCTGGACTTTGGAATCCAGAATACAGCTCAAGGAATCTGGAATACCCGCACTAATGATGGGAATCCGGAATCCAAGTTCCACTGACAGAGAGTTCGAAATCCAGTAACATGGATCAAAGTCTGTCTTAGATTTCCCCTACATGTGGCGACCATTCTGGCTATTTTTATATGGGAGTTCCCCGCTATTTTGGGCGATATCTTTGTAATGTTAACTAGACCTGAACAACGGGAGGGCGGCCCTAGAAGTTACTCCCATCGAACCAGTTTCAATGAAAATTGGGGTGCTTCCCATACAGCCCAAAATTCCGGAAATTTCGGTTAGAAATCAATGAAATGGGACGCACCATTTCGGGTCGATCCGACCGGAATAATTGGGACCACCTTTGAAGGTGGTCCACTTTGACCTGGCGGTCATTTCCGTCGGTCGGACCTAAATGTCTCTTTCCATTGATTGGACAAAATTGTTGTCCCCAGTACCGCTCTTTTGAATCCTGCTTACTAATATGCTTACAAAAACAATAACCAAACGCGAGGTGGCTTGGGTCGGGTCAGTGGAATGTACCGTTTCATTGGGCACGTGAAATTTCCGAAATTTCTAACCGGAATTTTTGTTGAATGGAAGTCGCCCTTGAATTCCTAGCTTCTTATTAGGGCTAGAAACAATTTTCTGGCGGATCGGAAGTAAGGCACTCGTGATATTTCTTTTTAAAACTAGTTTGTTAATAGTGAGTATCCTGGCAGGCGTTCTTGTAAATTTTGCTTACTGTTCTTGCACTCGTGAATATTCCGGTCCATCTCTATCCTCATAGCAAATACAGTAAAAACCCGCGTATAAGAACGATAAAATTTAAGAACCTGTTAGGCTAAAATTTTCATTTTAGACCCCCTTTTCATAAGCACCTACTTAGACTAAAATTTTCTATAGGTTCTTATTTTACAAAAGTGAAGGCACAGATTAAAATGCAGAAAAAACAATTTAGTCTAGGTTTTATTCAGTAAGATTCAAAGCCTGAACTAAAATGAAAACCATATCTGTCTTTGGCTGGATTATACCATGCAATTATTAGGAATACAGTTCTGTACGGTTATCATTTAAACTGTATTCTAGATAATTATTTAGTAATACAGCAATATATTCCAATAGTATAGTAGTTGTCTGTGCTGATCGCTAGTGCCTCTATCAGTGCTCTATTAACTTAAGAACCTGTTTAAGAACCTTATAAGGCCGAATCTGGTGGAAGATACCTGGTTTCGTTTGGTAGTCGCAAGGGGCTCGATGGAGTGTATGTGCTAGATTATGGCAGAAGGTATGAGAGTTAGGTTTATTACTGTATGTTACTGTCGTTACAGTTAAAGCCAAAAAAGAGAATAACCATATGTGAACAACCGCGGAATGACTTGAAGTAAAACTGTAAAGTATTCCCCATTGAACTTGATTGTTATGAAAAATGTCACATGGGTAGTAATTTTTTTTCTCAGTTTATTTGCACTTTATTTTTCAGTTTTAGGCAAAAATTGTTTAACAATTAGTAAACGCCCAGGGCACTCTATCGGTGGCAAGAAGAACATTCACGAAGCACGTATTCGTATTCATTCTATTTCTTGCCTTTATTGACTTTTTCTATATGATCCAAAATCGTGTCGTCCCCAGAAAGTAGGTCCTTGTCGTCTTCCCTTATTAGGGATCGTTTTGCCTCTGAAACTCAATGTTAAAAGATTGATATAAGTATATTTTCATCTCTCAAATCTGCAGAGTTACCATTCAGAACTTAAGTGGCATGTATCCATAACAACAAACTGTATTACGTTCCCTGACTGTGAGCAAAAACACCCTGTATTTCTATGAGTTTTTGTTTGCGTTTTGAAAACAAACTAAAGAAAACATTTATCCAGTGTCACTTTTTTGTGCAATACATTTGTGTTTAACGCAAATCTTGACTTGTAATACATACATGCATACATCTGTGTTTTTAATTTTTAATTTTATATTTTCGACTTTTAAGTTTTTTGGGATCTGAAGAGCTAGAATTGTCACAAAATCTTTAAGCGCTTGTGGACTGATTCTGTAATTTCTAGAGAGTGATTAAAATTATTTTAGATCGATTTTGTAAGTAGCGTATTAAGGCCAATTTCTGATATGAAAGTTGATATTTCTTGAAAATTTGCTCCCTCTGGCTTCGTTTTTCTTTCACAATGTATCCTTGCACGATAATATTCCATCACAATGGGTGATAACAAAAACTGCACAGTTTCCATAGCATAAATAATAATTACTGCACTCATTCTTAGATTTTCTACGTTAAATCAAAGTTACCCGATGTCTAGGCACAGAACCGGTACCGATAAACGGGAAACAATCACTTGTTTTCGTTCTGAAAAAAGACAACAAGATAGGCAACCTACCAGAACGATGTGTTTCTATCGGGATGCTAAATGAGTGAACCGCAAAGAAAATGAGAACACAGAAAATCCTTAGTCCCTCCATTGCCACACCTTCTTAACTGTGGGCTTGAAAGCTTCTAGGACTGGAGTTTAAAAGCACAAATGATGATCAATACAAATCGTTTCCTTTACAGATGTTAAGATCTCATGATCGTGTACTTATAAAGATAAAGTAGAGGAGAGCAAAGTCTTGTGATAACAGCTCTGATGAGAAGAAGATTGTTTTTGACGTGTAAATTGTTTGCACAAGCTATCTATAATTTTGATTGATGAAAAAATCTTAATTTTAAGAGGTGCATAATACCATCCAAAAAAATAAAATGATGCTCTGTTGCCTGGATTGATAAGCCTCCGAAGAAGAATGTTTGCCTGTATTCTTTGTAGAAGCAATAAAGACATAAAAATGCTATCCATAACACAAAAAAATATACCGACGTTTGCGACATTAGATATGGGTTTTTGTTTCACGGTGTTACGTTAACAGATGAAAGCGGAAGGTAATTACTTTAATTTGTCATACCAAATGTGCAATAACGGACGTGATTCCCAATATTTTGTAAAAATAAATAATATATGGCAGAACGTCACGACTAGAACTAACCTGATCAACATAGATTGCCCTCTTTCTTTTTAATTAAAAGTTAAAACATAATATATTCATTTCCCCCAAAAAACATTTCCCACCTCTGTTTATCCAAAATGGTTAAAAACGGTTCTGTAAAAATTCAAAATTGGTTTTTCATAAATGGCTTATGTAAGTTTGCCTAAGGAATCGGCAGTTTTTCTACATTTCGTTTAAACCAATTTGCCTTTCGACGGTACAAACTGTTCTACCATTCGAACACGGTCTTAGTATCTGTCCGATATTTGATGATCGGTAATATCTAAGTCAATATGACATTTATCTACCCCTTAGTTTCTGTCAGATTTGTCTTATAAAGAGAAGACAGATTTAAACAAAACTCCATACTGGATTTTAGAACGGGGGTTCAGGAGACCTTAGAACAAAGACTGATATTTTCCCGTAAGCTTTTGCAGTTACAATTCTTGTCAAATGTTAAGGAAACTGTTGCCTCAGAGTATGTATTTTAAGATATCTCTTCGCAGCGTAGTTATTAATCCGCAGTACTTCTACATCCTCTGTCACGAGAAGCCACAGGTTTTTCCGCCGTTAGGTGTCTTATTCAGTATTTATGTAATCTATGGAGTTTTTTATCGCGAGAGCTTTAGTCAATTTATCCTATCATAAAGAAATGGTTGGGCGATAGTCTTTCTATTTTTTTTGTTGTGGGGTTCGTAAGTAATGACTGCCTTGCAAAATGGATCAATAATGCATTGCCCGTAATTTGAAAATCTTTTACCGTTTGCTATTTTTGATCTAGATGAGAGTTGATGGATCGTAATATGTTACGTGTGATTTATTACCTATTACAGATCTCTTAAAGAATTCATTGAAGTATATTAAAACTGGCTAAGAAACTTTATGCAATTATCCCTGTTTTGACCAGTTAAAATGGACGTACCTGGCAGAGTAACAGAGGTGGTTTTGCTTGAAAATTTACTGCCAGTTGTTTGCAACTTATTCGACAGCAGAAAACAAACTGATGGTATGATTAGGGAAAAAATAGAGATATGTTACACAACCCAGGACACTTAATGACGAGCTGAGACCTGCTGTGTAAATAGGGAACGAAAAAGACATAATGCCTAATTTATAATGCATGTCAATTTAGACATAATGCCTCTTAAAAGAACTTTTGACGTTGAATAAAACTGCCATTTTGTGTTTAAAAGTTTCCAAGGCAAAATAAACAAGCAAACGGCGCAAATAAAGACATTTTTACAACTTTACTATCGGTAAAATCCTTGAAGTTTGGCTTGATTGACAGTTGAGTTTGGCAGCTGGAAAAATTTAAGATAGTCGGATACTGAAACATGAATACCATAATCCTAGTCTTCAACCTTAAACTCGTTTAATTTTGGAACAAGTCACCCTGACAAGCCACACCAGAAAATCGCAAACCATCCTCTCCTTTTGTCTCTCCTCAAGACAGGATAAAGGGGCTTGCTCTCTTTGAATATCTCTCTGAAAAGTATTGTGAAGTTAGTAAGGTTACTGATTATTCTGCGTTTGACGTCATTGCTACTTGATTTCCTCTAATTCAGTAAATGATTGATATAATAGAATTGTCACGCACGAGGAGAGGAGCTCCCAAGTAACGCTGCAGAGAAGAGGACCGAAGAGATTGACTGATGATTTACGTACTAATTTGTTATCAAATCATGCCGATGACACTTGATTGACTGTAGTAATCATTGCATTGCATTATCATTGTTATCAATTGTAACTTTATGTTAAAGCTTTTGCAATACTGTAACTACATAATTGTAGTCATGCAAAGAAAGCTTATGTTGTTGTTGTTGTTGTTGTTGCCTCTGTCTGTCATTGGTTCACTCCCTCCTCTGCGGAGGCCTCTTTAGTTGTGTCGTAGGGAGACTGAGGAGAGGGAAGAAAATATCGAAAGCGTGCGGTGGACGATGGGAAGGGGAAAGAGAGGTAGTGAGGCTCCAGCCTTTTTCCGATTGGTAAAATTTTACTCTATCAAAGTATTCGAAAACCTCCGTATTCTTCCGTCTGGCAACGAGATTGGTTCATATGACAAAAATGTCCATCCTGGGGACCATTTTCGAAAAAGTGCGTTTTCGGTGCCGGGACGAGTGGCTAAAAAGAGGAAAAAATCTGTTTTCTAAAATATGAGAATACATGTGGACAGGACCAGAGTCAACTTTCCGTCGCTCGAGTCCCTATTCTTTGTTTTCGAAACCCCTATAATACACAATACACTCTGTTTGCCTCCTCTCCCCCTCCAAAAAAGAAATCGTATAAACTATTGTTTTCAAATGCTCCTCTTGAGGAGGACTGCATATTCCCTCGATCAAGAACATTTGAAAACTACAACTTACGCAAAATTTAGGGGGGTAAACAGATTGTATTATAAGGGATTAAAACTGTTATATAATATTTCTATGACTCATCCAAGGATGATCAGTGAATCATCATCGAGATCCTTGACTCGATATACAGTCGAACCTCTCCAGAAAGGTCACCTTGGGGACAGAAGAAAGTGGCCCGTTGTGGAGAGGTGGCCGTCATGGGGAGGTAAGGGTGTCATATGACAAATTTTTGTTAGGGGAGTAAGACATATTCATGCTTGCTGTATCCCATAATGGTAATCCAAGCGTAAATGATATAAAGAGATGAAATACAGAAAAAAAAAACTTAAATAATTTTTTGAATCAAATTGCTAACATGAAAAAACGAGCAAGGCTCGCAACATTCGCTAAAGGTATTGTAGACAATTTATGCATACTGCAGCAGTATAAATGGAACACAATCGAAATACGATTGCCGCGATTAATCATCAACGCGCCATACGGATCAAATTTCACGACCATTCCTGACGTTTTCGTCAGTGGCTGAAAAAATTCAACCATCCCCAGTCCATACAATTTTCGCAATTTTCATTGTTTCTATTTCGTCCTCCTCAGTTACATTTATCTCAACCCCCAGGGTCTAGGGGCGGGAGTAAAATAGGCCATTCGTGAGTTCCAAAAACCCTAACTTTCAAAACTAGGCTAATTGCACTTTAAAAATGAGTTTCATTTGCATGAGAATAAAAAACATTATTATCATTATGGTTATTATTACTGTTATTACTATTATTATTTTGGCTTTGCACGTAGCCTCGCTTTGAAACAGAGGCAAGAAAGACTGAGTTTTGACCAGCAAAGTGAAAAGCATTTCTCTTGTCGACAGTTTGATCTCTAAGCAATCGGAAATCCAAAACCTTCTTAATTTCTGGAAGGAGAGGAAAGGATTAGCGGCTACGAGGTTAACAAGCTTCCGCTCATTTTTTGGGTCTTCTCAGGAGGTCTTCTACTTTTGTGAAGCCGCGAAAATTTGTTTAACAAGGAACAAAATAGCAAAATATACGTTTGGTTTGACATTTTAAAATATTAAGGTGAGGTGTAATACGGGTAACAACTTCGTGCAACGTAAGTGTCCTTCAAGATTGTTGGAGCCAAACCTTTGGTAAGTCAAAGCAAGATCTGCGAAGCCCGAAGGCGCCATCCTCTACGGGGGTCTTCTGGGCCAAGACAATTTCAAAATTTCGAAGCTTCGAAACGTTACTTTTAGTCGCAGCATTTTACTTAAGGTATTTCTTCAGAAAAATTAATCTCTTTCAACAGGAAATTATGTTACCAACCTAACATATTAAAAAGAAAAAAATAATAATAATAAAAGACATAAAAAAATAATAGTGTGTTGGTTGACTCTACGATACAAGTTGCCTCGTCTTACGGTTTCGTCTTGACTCTTTCTACATGTAGCTTCAGCCCGAAGAGTTTCGGTTGCGCAAGAAAAGTCGCACTGAATTTGTTGTCTTTAAGGTTCCGTTGGAAAGAATTTGGTTCCGTTGAAAAGAATTTGCCACACAAATTGGTCAATAACTATAGCAACAAAATAGGGTATAAGAATTTATTGATTTAACGGTAAACTGCGGGGCATGACAAGATCTTTTAAAGTAATAAAACCTAACGATGCAACGAGGTAGCTTCCTGGGTGAAAAAAGGATAAACTGAACATTTCAGAATGACAAAGAAAAACATGTCTATTTAAATACTGATATAAAATATTTCTGATGTCGATGAAAACATTCAACGTCAGTTTGAATCGTTCTTGAATAGTTCTTGTCAAGAGCCATAATAGGAGAGTGTCCTATTATGACTATTGTTCTTGTTAGATAATAGGCAATCATCTTGCTTTGGATATACAGACAAAGGAAAGGGGGTATCCATTTTTATCTTCTTGTACTGTTTGTGTCCGTAAAAGGGTATAATAGAGTAAACAATTAACTAATGATGGTTTTGTAATAATCCAGTCACACTAAAAGCTTAAAAATTTTACTTAATTTTTGGTATGGCTTCAATGTTTGGTAAAGAACAAAAACTACAGTTTTCCCTGCTTTAATCTTCTCAGGCAAGACAGCACTGCAATCCGTTGTCCAGCAAAGTCTACTTGAACGCTTCAGAGCACGATACATCGTTCAACAATTGAATCACCATTTTTGTGTCCCAGATCAGCCTCAGAATCGAAAAAGTTTGATTCGGATTTGTCTCAAAAGCTTGTATCGCAGGTCTCCACTTTTACAATACACCTGTGGTTCACTTCCTGATCAGCACCAGCTACTTCCGTCTGGGCATGCGTATTCGCATTCTCTCCGCAGTCAACAGCATGGGCTTGTTCACCAGTTTTGGTATCGTTTTGTTCTTCGCTAAGCGCGTGGTCGTTCTCAAACCAGCTCATGTTGTCATAAGTGTGTGCTGCTTTTCTCTGACTGTGTTCCCTTTCAGCATGTTCCCTGCTAATTTGTCTCCAAGATTTGACCAAGGTGAAGACGGTCAGGGCTATGAGCATAACAAGGGCAATGGCTGCACAGATGATAGCCACCAAGCCGTCGGTTTCCATGGTAACAACCTAAAAAAAAACAGAGCATTAACAATATAAGGTGTCTGAGAATTCCTTCATTGGCCTTCCTTTTTCAAACAGCAGTGGGCTCGCTTCCTCGAGAGATTGTTAAGTTTAAATTAGGGTTAAGCAATTCTTGCTTAGAAATATGCCACTGGCACTGACTCGTACCCGGTCGCTTAACCTCCTCCCCAGGGCGCTTTTCCATGGCTTTGGGAAAAGCGACCTGGGGACGAGGTTGCCGGTCTCTATTTATGTATTTTCTGGGTGAGAGAAGATTGGGGTTAGGTTGAGACGCGCAGTCTTCATTCACTTCACCGGGTACGAGTATGTGTCACTGGAGCATATACTGAGATAACTTTTACTCCGAGACCCAGTCATAAAAACACCACAAAAAAACCTACATGCTAAAAAGTTATTTTACTACGGTATTATAATTTTCCGTATTAAACTAACAGAATTAACGTCTTTAGACTTCGATTATATCGGGGCCGCAGCGTTTATTAACTATTTTTTTCTCCCAAATGCGGCGCTTTTTCGAGGGTGGCGCTTATTTGGTAAATAGGGTAGTACCATCTTAGATTTAAGGTTTAATCCTGGATAAGCGCTTAAATCGGCCTTTCTGAAACCGGGCCTTGATTGCGGCCCAGTTATTCGAAGGTCGATTAGCGATAACCCGGGGTTAAAATTGTAATCCGGGTTCTCCTTTATTTTGTTCAAAAGCATTTGCTCGGATAATTTTCTCTATTTAGTCTTTCTAGAACATCCAATTATCAAATGGTAGACAAAAAGAAATAATAAATTTGCTTTTCAAATTTCGCACTAATCATGGGGTATCTAAACCCAGCTTCTACTCTGACAGGCATTGAGAGGAAAACGAGTCACCCGAACTGCCGAAACAGCTTTCTGAGACTGAGGAAAGGTGGCTAACAACCAGGAGGGGAGGGAGGGGGAGGTGCACCGTTATGTAAGCCATATACGGTAGGTATGTACCGCTCCAGAGGGTAGGGGTTTTTGAGCCGTTATGGTCTGGAAAACGGGTATAGACTTTGCCCGTATATTTTGGTCTGGAACTGGGTATGGTTTTCGAGGGAACTACGGGAGTGCAACTTTGAACGTATTTATCGTTTCAATTCCAAATGAGTAAGAAAGAAAGAGAAACACGCGAATTCGACGTGGATTTTCAGAAATCTTTTTTGCTGCTGTTCTAATCTAAGTCATGATGACATAATTTCCTGCTTCTTAGAGGTCGGGCTGAAAACGGGTATGGATTTTAGAGGCCAGGTCCGAAAACGGGTGTAAAAAATGACATTTTTGGGTCTAAAATAGTGACTTATTTGAATAACGCCTTGGTGTCACTCATGTTTAAACCGTGGGGCGCTTATTCAGTAACGTTTCAGTAAGTAATCGGTCGAGTGAAAAGTGGTAGATATTTCAACTTACAAGAATCTCCACAGCTACCCACTTCTACTTCGATAAGACAATTTATACATGCACTAGAACGTTTTCAAAATAACTTTTACAAAGAAACGACCGGCTCTTTTCAAAGTTTTGAAGCTATTATATGTAAACAAAGGATCCTTTGTTGGAAACTTTCCACTTAATTTAAACAGTGAAGATTGTGTAATTAAAAACATAGCCTAATAAAGTTAAATGGTTATGAAGCCCATCAGGTTTGTTCATATTGCTATGTAGATACGATTTCCCGTCAACGTGATATCAAATGTTGCAACTGTTAGACATGTTGAACTTCTGCAAAGATTCGCTTCTCTGACTTTGGCTAACAGTTTGACTTCTTTGAAGACAAGGTGAACGATAAACAACAAAAGCGTATTAATTAGCTGAAGTTGCCTGGGCACTAATATTTTTCAGAATTTGGCGGAAGTTATTGAAAGGACAATTTCTTTAGCAAAGCTTCTGAAAGACATATAAAAGGCCCTAAAATTTTATCAGCGTACCTTTACACCTGCGCGGTGTTGCAAAAAACGTGTTCATAGTGAAAGGTTATCAGTTTTTCGAATCGGGATAATTTTGTATACCAACAACTGATGATCTGCGCATACAAACTGTGGCAGGGGTTTACAAAAATTGCTGTACAAACGCTGGCTTATCTCAAATTTAACGCCGCGTACGAACCTGTCAACAGAAGTGATCAGAAGTCGCCACAGGCGTTGACTGAGCGTTGGCGTTGTCTTGCGCAAACAAGGCCATTTTACTGATCGCAAGGGGGCATAATAACAGATAACATATAAAGTAAAAGAGTTCAGAGACACTAGAGGTCTTGGATGTGGCCGAGTGCTCCGTGAGGACTTTGCTTTGATAACACGTAAATTTCACCGAACTTATACCTAGCTCTACACTAACAACACGTGATAAAACACTGACAAATGCATGTTGGCGAGTGTTTAATATGTCGATGTCTATTGACACGTCCTTATTAAAACGCAGATTTAAATGTAAACTCAGAAAGCCAGCGTCGCATATCTTGATTCTTTGAGAATACCTTGTCCTGTGCTCTTGCGTTGGTAAAAACATGCGTTTATACCCAAATTCATCGACGAACCTTGCAAATCCAGACAAGTAAGAAGTAAGCAGCAATCGAGCGTGCCAGTACTTCGCTCGATCCGTTTGATCGAGCGACGAAATTCATAATTTCCGGGGTTTCTAATAAGCGTTCGGCTCTACCCTTAAACAACACTTAACATCTAAATTTTACCCACCTTCAAGCTTCCGGTTCCTAAGCTTTCTTCGAAACAATTGACTTGCGATTTCACGGTCTACTCTACTTCTGTCCGTTCCAGGGCTAGATGCAATCCAGTGTGACGCGAAACTCCTGCCCAACATTGACATAAGAAATGCCAGTGCTTCTTCATTGCGTGACACTGGACTAAGACGTGACACAAGGAAAAGACTCGAAATCTTTATTGTCCCATCGTCCCATCCTCGTATCACGGAGCTCAAAATTTACAATCACTTTTTAGATCTTTGTCTATCACCACACGGGATGCTTGAAAGGCCTTAGCGAAGGGAAATAGGACGCGTGACAAATCACCACCCCTTCCGTGTTTCCCTACCCGTCCCATCCCCATATTTTATTGTTAGCCCCCAGCTCCCTTCCCCCACCAAAAACCCACAACGCTTGCAGAGGTTCCCCAATAACGGTAACAGTTACAGTAACTTTATTGTGCCTTACTCTCCACATGGAGGTATTGGTCTTTTATATTTAAGTACGTCTAACTAATGATACACGCTCCAAAAAAATAATCAAAGATTTTCTACCAAGTTGCATTTTCAGTAATTTTTTGTACACTTTTTGAACATACCATGAGATACACTGGAGGCTCCTGGCATACATAAGATTAATATATTTCGCTATTGTTTTACTATTATTATTATTTTCTGCTGTTAGTAAATATTTTCTTCTGTCATGGGCAGTAAGATTCACCAAAGCAACATCCTTTAATTATGAAATACAATTTTAAAATACTCCTGTCGCAATACGTTGCACCCATTGCAAAACATCAAGAACTGTTGTTCATCTTCGATCTGGTTTGTTTGCAAACCAACCAATGGGTCTTTCGGGATCCCGGATTTGCATTGCCTAACTCGGAAATACCAGGATTGTCGGGATTCGGGAGTCCATATCATGAGTCCCCGAGAAAAAACGAAGAGGGATATTCGGGATTGTAATTGTGAACGGGATGCAGGATTTCGTGGCCATTATACGAGGCGGCCGGGATTCGATTCGAGAAGTTTTTCAGAAGAACCCATATCCGGTTAGGAAAGTGAGCCACATTTTCTAAACAATTTGAAAAAATCTTCCATTTTGACCGAGAACTGAAATGCGCACATTAACCTCGAAAAGCTGTTACTTGCCTATTTTGAGTGTACTAACGTTTTTTTTTTTTTATCTCACCACCTGCCTCTGATTGTCGTAAGATAAGAGAATCTCGAACCTCTTTAAGGCACTTTGTGTCTCTCTTTTCCTCACTGTGTATCATTTTGCCTTTGGCTGATTTTTATCAAAGACTCATTATTTTGCCAATCTTTCACGCTAAGGCTGCCTCTAAGGTGACCCCTCCACACACACAAGACCTGTTGAGTTTTAACGGCTTCTGGGGAGCAAGGGATGGCGCAGTTGTGAGAGCGCTCGCCTCCCACCAATGTGGCCCGGGGTCAAATCCCGGCGTCGACGCCTTATGTGGGTTGAGTTTGTTGTTGGTTCTCTCCCTTGCTCCGAGAGGTTTTTCTCCGGGTACTCCGGTTTTCCCCTCTCCTCAAAACCCAACATTTCCAAATTCCAATTCGATCAGGAATCGGGTAGACGAAGATCCACTTTGAGGATGTCGCTACCTCCAAATCGTCATCATCATCATCATCATCATCATCATCATCATTCTGTTCACTCGTGGATAAGTTAATAAAAGCCGGACAACGGACGCGCCCACCCAGAAAGGTGAGATGCTACCTAGAATGGACGATGCGGAGAGGACGTTCTGATTTTGTGATTTAAGCATATTTAAGGGCTAGTGCATTAACAACAGTTAAAAGATGTGCATAGTTCTAAAACTTTATGTCAAAGGGGTACCGTTTGCCACTGAGTAGGAATACGAAAGGGCTACCTTTTCTGTCAAAAACGGAAGTATAAAAAAATGAGGGGTTGGACCTCGGGGTGGAGCCTTTCCGTATAAAAACGTTAGTACGTACCCCCGGGGATCACGAGATCTCCTGTACCGGCATATTCGTTTGTGGTCCTTTGCAGTTTATGTGCAGTTGTTTCTTTCTTCAGTTACAATTAAGCCTGCAGTACGATTCTTGGAGAGGACGCGAGAGGGTTGGGCTAAACCCCTCCACCCACCAAGAAGATCTTGCCCCTTCCCGCTTTGCTGCCTTCTATTCTCCCTTTCCCCACTAAAGAGTCTTTTTAAAGGTTGGTTAGGACCCCAAGGGTGTTTGCTTACAAGTTAAATGTAACTTACATTAGTCTGTGTATTCTCTCCCCCCCTCCCCGCCACTTCTCAACTTTTCGTCAAGGGAGCATGTGACTGTACAATCATGAGGTGATCTATTCCCGTTTCTCATATTCGATTTTTTTTAAAATGGATCATTACACCATAATGACGTCCTTTTTCTATATTTTCTCAAAGTCAAACCACTCGCTGTTTTCTTTACTGAAAAAATATTTACTGATCGTTTTCTAAGATCGTTTTAATTGGCCGATGAGATACCAACATCATTTTACTTAACAACAACATTTACAGCTAAGAGTAACTTGTCAGCAGCACTTATAGCTGAATAGTAATAACAGTAATAAGTCAATTAACAAGCACGACGAAGAAAATTGAAGTACTTAATAGAGGATATTTACAATATTTGGTATATAGAAAAGCTCATCGGTAAGAGCAAGGAATGTCTCAAGAAGATTTAGTTCTACATGAAAATCTAGCACCTGGGGCACCCAACGACTGTTTTTTGTATAATATCTGTTCGGAGAAGCAGATATTGCCTAGAACTGTTAATTATTCGAGGACGGCGATTTCTAGATGACCGTTCCATTCATGTACAATTCTTGAAGCTTATCTTATAAATGCCCTACGATTTTCTTAAGTTTAATTTGTCACATCATCACTCCCCAGGTTAGGCTATTTATCGTAGAAAAAAGAAAACCTAAAATTTTCGGATTCAAAAATGAGATGGAAGAGGAATCAGAAAAATTCTTATTTTAGTAAGACGTTAAATTTCATCTAAAATTTTCGGGGAAAATAAAACTGAAGCCCTTGATTCCTTCATTTTGGAGGATCAAGTGATTTGAAAAGCAAGTGTTACTTCTCTACTTTATACGACGGTGTGAAACAACAACACGAAAGAGTCGATAAAAGACATTTTAACCCAACGTTTCTTCCCTATTCCGGCTTTCAAAACTTTCCAAAAAGCACAAGCCTTTTCAGAGAGCGGTACATATAACTCTGCTGTCCCCCTCGCCACTGTAACATCTAAGACACTTGCCACCTCCGATATGTCTGTCATCATTCCAGCTCTCCGTGTCCTCCAGCAACAAACTTTGTTCAGGTGATCCAGAGCTTGTATCAACATTGGACTCAGATTTGCTTCTCCTCATTACTGAAGAGTCTCCCAAATTGTTTATACTATTTTCAATGTCACTGATACATCTACAGTTAACGTCTCTGTCTGTCAAAAGTCTGTCGTGAACGTTTTTTCTCCTCCCCTTGATTTCTACGTCAGGATTTCTAGGCTGCAAAAACTTGTCTGGAAGACTAATATTTGAACCCGCAATACTCTGATCAGCTGTATTACTTACGGAATTTTTACCTAAGTGGTTTTCTTCTATAAAGTCACTGGAGGGAACAGACGATGCAGATTTCCTTTGCGATGGCGAAGGTTTTTTACCGCAAACAAATTGATAAGTTTTACTCTTTTTAGGGAGAATAGAATCCGACGTCCTTTGGTAGTACAAACGATCTTCTTCGTTGAAACAAGTTCTTCCTTTTCCTTTCTTTGTTCCGTCATTTCTTAAAGCCTTCCTGACAAAAACGGACATAGTTAGAATACATGACAACAAAAGTTATTCTTGATAAAGTGTCATTAGCCTGCGTAGCTGGCAGGACCAGCGGGCAAATAACCCGAGGGGTTATAAAAATGACGGAGATGCTCGTCGTGTCGTTTAGGGGTGTAAAGTGCAGATTTTGGTCTCACTTAGGTTGTTTGGGACGGGCAAGTCACTATATAATTAATTTCCCATTTAGGTATTGCTTAGGGCTGTGCATAAAGAAATTTACAAAACACTGCAATGACAGTGACCACAAAGAAGTCAGTTTGAACTTAAGCCACACCCACATTGGTCTCCCTTAGGGATTTAATTTAACTGTTCAGACAAGCATCCCCATCACTTTGAAATGGGAGTTCCCCCCGACCATATCATTCCTGTCAGCTCGGCTCCTGACGCAGGCTATATTGGAATCAGCTCAAGGGTTCTTATCCTTGTCTAAAAGGCCCAGCATTTAACAGCTCAGTTCGTCCTGTCACCAGAGCTTTTTTTGTTATGCGCAAATTTCCTGTCAATTGGACACTTCCCTATACAAGTTTTCCCCAGCCTCCTCCACGCGCAGTAGCTTCGTTGCCCGCGCGCGAGAGACGAGGCGAGCGACTGGAGGCAATTGATGCTCGAGGCATCATGGGATGGAAAGAAAGGCGGCCGAACCTCCAACTTTTCAGCGTCCCGCCGTCTTTATAGCGACAGAGAAGCTTGAATATAAGGCTGAGTCAACCCTGTATCAGTAAGAGAGTCCGTTCTAATTAAGCGGTCACTTGCTAAAGTCCTAAGAGTAATTTTCCTAAATTGCGCATGTAGTAAACCTGCCCTCTTTTAGTCAGATAAGAACTACTTTAACCTAAATTTCAACGATGTATTTTGTTGTCTAAAAGGTCATTTTGTCAAGAGGTATCACAGCAGTCGGTAAACCATAACTAAATTTCCAGGGATCTCATGTTGTGCGGGTGGTAACTTGACCTATTTTTGGAATCAAAATGGAAAACAAAGAGGTATATCCTTTAATATTGGCAAATAATCTTATTTCAAGGCATTTGCCATACGCACCCTGAGGTAGCTTCGCCTTTAATTAACTTCTTGTATCCTTGTGGTGAATTAGCTTCTCTCGAGTTACCCCAATTTCGACCGTTCGGTACTTGCTTGAGCAGCTGGTCTTGAGTCGTGCGCAAAGATTCCTTCGTGGAAACTAGCTCTTTTCTTAAGTGTTTGATGAGTTTCTCCATCTGCGAAAATTGGTAGAGAAAAACTTAAGTGATTGATTCTTCACCTGACAGAACAACTGACTGGCTGCCTACTGTACATGTTAGATAAATGGTTGCAGACCGAAAGACTGATTAACTAATTGACTCTCTGCCTGCAAATGACTGGCTGACCTACTGACAATCAGATTGACTCAAGGACTTGCTGGCTAACTGAGTTACTGACCAACAGACTGATTGGCAAGCTGTTGAAGGCTGTGTCACTAAAAAGGTGGATGTCTGAATGTATAGAGGCAAGAACGAAAACTGGATGGTTGGAGGGCTAACTGCTTGACAGGACAAGCTGCTTTCCCCACCAACTCACAAACTCATTCCGAACAGGTTAATTAAGATATCCTTCTAATCTACGATTGATAGGGTGGTAGAATGGTAGAGTATCGAGCAGTGGATGTACATAAAATCTTATTAATACCTCGTGTTTTTTACTAGGTACAGCTCCATTTTCCTCCGTATTGAGTTCAGATACAGGTCTGCTAGAATCCGACGAATCACGTTTCTTTTCCACTGCATCCTCCGCGCTGAGGAAGAAAATATAACAATTCAAAATTCAAAGTTATGAGGAAGCTCTCTGTATGGAATCGCGAGAGTCTAAGGTGGCTTGAGATTCAGGTACCTTCGCGCGGACCAAACTGTCACTTGTCAATTGTCACACCATGTAAGGTAATCCTGTATTCTGGATTCCACGCTGTGGATTCCGAGTTGTTCCATGTACTGCATGCCAGATTTCTTGCCAATCGTTAGATTTCAGATTCCTTGAGCTGAATCCCGGATTCCAAAGCCCTGGATTCCTGATTTTACATGCAAAAATTGTTGGGATTATGGAATCCGGATTACCTTAGATGGGATGATAATTGTGATCAATGAGATTTCTGGGTAACTGACCACCTAACCCTCCCCTGAGTCAACAGTAACACTTACTTCTCACTTAGGGCAAAATTGAGACTTAGGGAAGGGGTAGGTGGTCAGTTACCCAGAAACTTCCATTGATCCCATAATTGTTTGAGGCAACTTCGATTAGGTCGTTACCTGCTACCAGCAATTTCATCTTCGTCGTTGTCACCATTCTGATTCACTCCAACATATCCGTGCGATCCTGCCTTCTGACCCTTCTCTTTACTGACACTAGATAAGCTCAAGCTTGGGTTTACATGTCTGCGAACATTTCTGTGAGGTCGAAACACTATAATGTACACTTTAGGTCCATATAAACAACTTAGAAGAACAAACGCGATCAAAGAAACGCTTACACAGAGAATCAAAGGTTTCTGGTCATATGATTTCTCCATGTAGTACACAGCCAAGAAGGCAAGCCACACTACACACGATGAATACATCGCGAAAGCAATGTACTTAGCTTCGTTAAAATTGCTGGGGATTTTCCGCGTTTTGAAAGCGTAAATGGTACACATGAAGATCAAGATGAAGTTGTACACTTGCGATAGACTAAAGTCCAGATTGGAAGTCGAACAGTCGAGGTAAACTTTGGAGCGTTCAGGATAAAAAAGCTCTGCGCGTGGAGTGCGTAAGTACGAGAGCATTACGAGGAGTAGAATCTCCACTGACACCACGGCTAATACCAGCACGAGCTGAGAAAATGGCAGGATCAGAATCGGCCTTTTTGCAAGATTTTTGCGATTAAAAATCCTTGAAATACGGTTGGTCTTTATGAACAGAGACGCGTAGCATATGCTAAAGCAAACTCCATTGCCAGCAAACCGGGTAATACATGACAAGTCATTCGGCTTCAGTACGGTGACGAAAGTCATACAAAAGGCCAAAAGAATTCCAATCAACAGCATGTGAGATAGTTCGCGGCCACAGGCTTTAACAAGAGGCGTTTTATCGTACTTGATCAAAACAAAGATTACAAAAACCGTGGCAACCACTCCAAGGCCCGCGAAAGCAGCCGCCGGCAAAGAAAACTTCAAGTCCTTTCCAAAATATACTATGTCTATTTTTGCGCATGCTCGTCCGTCGAAAGTTGGAGCATATCCCAGAGGGCATAGCGCGCAGGTACTGCCGTTCACTATGTAATGTCTTCCATTGCATAGTTGGCAAGTCCAACAACAAGATTCCTTTCCAACAACAGGCACTTTCACTTCTTTGCTTTTACAAGTCGGCTGGCAAGATGAGGTAAATCGTTTGAATACCGATAAAACATTTGATGTAAGTCTCAGTCGCTTGTCCCATTCACCAATTTGAGCGTCTACGTACTTATTTCCCTGTTTTGTAAACATGAAAATGTCAAAACGTCCTTCAACATCGCCGTCGGCGTTAAAATGGATGTGGTTTCCGCTCGCACCGACAAACGAAACGTTTCTAAGATACTCCAACATCTCTTCTCCTGATATGTTGCGCATGCGTTCACAGACATTACTCTCATCCGGGCATTTTTGCTTGTGAATGGCATCAAGCGCATAGGCAAACACGTAAACCGCGTCCATAGCACTTGCAGCACGATTGTCAACTGGGCTATGTGAAAGCGAAAGATTCAACTGACTACACTGACCGTCTGTTTCATTTTTAATTGAGCAATTAAAATGTCGCTCCCAAAATTCTTTAAACCAAGGATTTCGGACGTTTGTCTTCGGGTGTAATCTATGAAAGCTTTCGTTAAAAGCCTTTAATTCAACAGTTTTTGGCAAAACCGTTATTGTGTTCTGAGCAACGTCTTCCAGTCCCTTCAACCATAACACGTTTCCCCAAGAGTCTGTTCCAAGCCACTGGAATGTCCTGGTTTGTCCTTTGTCCTTGGCAGCTTGTAGAAGATTTCTGATCTGCCGTTCTTGGCTACTGAAAACCACCACGGTTTTTGCAGAGGGCTCGCTGAGGAGTTTTTCGATGACTAATGGAAACACATCCACAGAACTTGTTAGTTCGATTTTCTCGGTTGCAGCTATGCATATGCCTGAAAAAATCAAAATATTATGAGCTGCATTACAGAAGCACTTTGGATTTGAGTTATTTAATTATTGCAAGATAGTGCAGAGCGGCGCCAACGGCCCTTTAAAAATAAATACAAAATAGTCCGGGTAAACAGTTCATCTTGGTTTACAGTGATTTCTTCGCATTTTTTCAGTATCCGTTTCCCTCTCTTTCACCTCCCTAGTAGGGAGCTTAAGCAACAAAGACGGCAACGGCTACGAAAACGTCACTTAAAAAGTGAAGCCGCGCTGCTTCAAACTTTACTGCGCTTTTCACAAACATGCGAATTCTGAAGTCCAAAAGCCAACTGACGATTGCGATTTTCGCTGCCGTCAATCATCTTAACGGACCTCTTAGAAAACAAAACTTTACTTTGACGGGTACGAAAGGTCAAGGTTTGTGATTTGTGATTGGTGGATTTCGATCCGTTTAGTGTGTTTCTGTGTTTCAAGGTTAGTTGCTTGTGATCGCAATTATGATTGACGGCAGCGAAAAATGCAATTGTGAAGGCGGCTTTTGAACTTTAGAGTTCGCATGGTTGTGAAAAGCGCAGTAACGCAGTAACGCACTTATTCCATCTCGTTCAATTCGTCAAATATTGGCAGTTTTTCTGAAGTTAAATTCTAAAAGACTGTATCAAAGTTCAGAAAAAGAAAAAGAAACTCGTTGTCTTGTGTTCACGCCCTCCACAAAACGTGAAACTAGGCAATTTCACGTCGTAGTCGTGCAGTGACGGCAAAGAAATGTGCAAATAAGTGTGATGCACGTGCAAAGTTGTTGTTTTGCCAATCTGGCCCTATTGCTTTTTTGCCTTTCTCGTAGACGTCGCCGTCGTCGTTGCTTAAGCTCCCTAATATCTGAATAACGCCTGATACAGACTGCGTTAATCTCAAAACCCAAGCTACTGTCGACTCACTCTTAACAAACACCTCTATAAGACAGACACCTACAGTTGGTCCCTGCCTTTCTTTACTCCCTTTATTTGACTCTCTACAAGACAGACATCTTTCTACTAAGAGGGACACTTAGTACCGGTCCCAAAGGTGTCTGTCTTAGAGAGAGTTGACTGTAACTGTTATCATTATCAGAGCGATTAACGAAAACATTTTCGCGCCCCTGCCATCGCATGTGTCTCGCGCTCCACGACCGTCTCTTTCTTGCCTTCGTTCACCTCAAAACCGCAAAAACAACGCCCGTTCTGCAGACTAGACTGCTTCCATTTGTGTACCATAATATTTTTCACTTATTTAAACTGGCCAGTTACGGTTCTGTACCTGACATTTTTAACTGATTAAACTCCACTTTATCGGCAAACAAGAAACATACCTGCTCTTTTGGCCTCCTTCTTTACCGCTTGAAAACCAAGCATACCGTACGAATCCCCGCTGTAGACAACTGAGACATAAGTCCAATTCATGAACTTAGCGATATCGATAAGAGCCTTTGCCTGGTACAGATCATGCGGAACTGTGCGAGAGAAGAAATCAAATCTCGTTTTGTCGCTCAGTTCATAACTCGTGGAATCAAAACTCACTTGCGGTATCTGGAACAACCGAAAAAGATGTGCAACTTGGACAGACACGGAGCTGTAACTCGGTCCAATAACACCCGGTACAATATGATTTCCCGTAGCGTGTTTCTCCTTAACAAATGCACTATCCTTGACAAAGTGCAACGCCCTGTCGAGGGCTACTATTTCGCTGGAACAAGTATCATAGACTTCAAGTCCAAGGGAAATATTTTTCAACACCGACTTATTGCTGTTGATAATGTCCATGGCAAACAGCATAGCTTCTAGTCTTTGAATACCGACTCTCTCGTTTAAATCCCCGCATATAGCTGGATTTTCCGAGTTGGTCGTATGAATTGGCACAAGTCCTCCAATGATAATGTCACCATTTACCAGCAACGAGCCATCTTGGCACATGACGTGGTCAAGGATTGTTGCCATGGCGAAGAAAACCGCCCTGATCATTGTCCGACTCTGTTTCATCTGTTACTGAATGATCTGTATCCCCTGATAGGTAACCTGTTCATGAAAGAAAACATTCTGATAAAAAAAAACTGAACAAAAATGCGGATTGCAAATAAACTCATTAGTGAAATTTTTTTAGTCACTCTCGCCGTAAACATACGGGCAAACAAAAGAAGGCTAGGGCTATTTATTTTTAGGGAGTTTAAGAGCAAAGACGTTTTTGAGCGATGCACATCAACCCGTGCGGAACTCAATTCATAAATTATAAATACATTAGAATACATTTAAAAGTTTGCTAAAGTTTGTGTTTTGTTTTCGGCAACAGCCGTTCTATTCAACTGAATTAAATTCGCCTTCTGAAACCAAGCTGTGCTAGTGTCGTGCTACAGTCTACAGTCGGCAATTTCAGCATTTAACAACCGAATATATCAGTAACATTTACAGAAAGGTGAAAAATTACAACCCAGAATGTAGAACCATAGAGTTTGGACAGGTATTGAAGAGTACCAAGTATAATATGAAGAACATTTCCGTAAACTTGATAAATGTCGGCTTGACTTTCGCTAAGACAATCTCGACTTAAACACGAAAGTACATTTAACAAGGTTAATCGTGTAGCCGTGCGTCTAAAAACTGAAAAAGTTTTATTAGCCTATTTGAAGTTTAGAGCTTAAGAAAGAATAGAAAACCAAATTGAATACCGTTGCGTTACCCTTAAAGGCTAGGGTAGTCCCCATACTAAAAATAAACGTCTTAGCTTCCAACTCTGGAACAAATTTCTTGATATATTGTAAAAGCTTAAGTGATTGCAATTAATTTGTTCTTACCCGAGGGCTTTGCACAGCTTTGCCATAATTTACGATTTCTCTCCGAATAGCAAAAATAAGTTGCGTGAGATGCTTTTCTCAGTAACACTATGCTGTAAGGGAAATAACCTTGAACCTGTGAAAGGCTTTCGATATCAGTAAAAGGCATTCAACTCTTTAAAATCATCAACAATATTGTAGCACTAAGGAGGCACTCTCGAATTGAGTGCCACCAATACCGCTAGACCGGTTAACTACTGTTAAAAAAGGTTCATTCTTGACGAGAGAATATTGTGCCTGTGCTAGTTGTCCGTACTGTTGTGGCAAATGGAGTGGCCAACTAGCTACCAATACCAGCAACGAAATCTTTACAATCGACTAATCGGATCTCGTGGTCAGTAAAGAACTAACTAAATTTCGTGATTCCGCTGGTCTTGCATTGCTACGGCTTGCTATTAATTGGCTGAAACGTTTCGCGCCACAACTGGTCACCCAACGGTGACTTGCACGCAGAAGGTTACGTGTGCTTGCATCTATATTACTAACTTATTGGATTTTTTTTTGCTTTCACATGCCTGTTTTCATTGGTCCAGTGTAATTACCAATACTAACAAAAGTTGTTGAGAAAAATGATTTGAACTGATGAATTCATATCTGTGACTCGCTCCAAAAAATGCCGTTATTGACTGCGCATGGTAACGCTTTGACTAGCAAATATTTGCAAACAAAGCGCCAAGATCAATCCCTGACAACACACCTAAAACACTGGTAATCTAAAGCCTTTCTAGTCTTTGAAGAATCTTGATTATCACTACAAGGAGATACCATAAGCTTGTTTGCTGTATACCTGTCCTTCCAGAATGCAATGCAGTCGTGTGGTAATAGAAGCTAAAATACACCGGGATTTCAATATCATTGTCTAACCGAATTTACATCACGGTACGGCTTATCGTCAATTTTATAACTAATATCCTTAAGTAGGATGTTTATGGATAACGGCCAGTTGTTATCAAAGCAAGATTGCTTGCTTCTTCGACATACAAAAAGGATAAAAAATTTCATAACATTTCCCACCGGAATGAACTTGAGAGGAAAATAATATTATATATTAAGCGCTTAGAACGCATGCGGATAAGCGCTATATAAGTGTTATTATTATTAATATTAGGCCCCGTCCACGCGAATCAGGTGGATACTTTGGAAACGAAAATATTTTTTACACGAATCGAGACCTTCCGTCCACACGATGCTGTTCCACTCATCGAAACCGAATCTTTTTCAAGCTGAGGTCCAGCAGTGATTTTGTTACAAATAGTTATGGTGAGCCGTGGAACTCGTCTTGAGAAAAATCACGAGTCACAGTCCAGAACCAACACTGAACCAATGAGTCCCCAAAAAAGTCCGAAATTGAAAATGCTTGGACCTTTATGTAACCAAACAGTTAATCTGAAGACAGACTCCAAAACTCTGATCTGTATTACAGTGTACTAACTGAAACAACAAAGGCTAAAAGAATAGGCATCGTTAAACAGCAGAGAGAATATTTCTACAAATACACATGTTTAATGGGTTGTACTGTAAACGGTTTTCTCTCTATAGAGAAAACCGTTTACTGTACAACCCATAAAAACGCCATAAATCGGCCATGGACCACCCAGGAGAGACGTAACACACATTTTATGTAAGTTAAGCTGGGTTTTTTTATTGAAATTCTTTCATTTTCGTAGGTTACCGAAACGATAGGTTTTTTCCCCATACAAATCCTTACATTTCGAAATCAATGTTACGCAATAATGCCGATGTTCGCCAATGCTCATATTTCGAGCTTGGGCTACCTGTGATGCCATAAATTATTTTGCGCTTTTGGAGATTTGGGGTAACAAAATCACCCTCCAGAGTAATAAAGGCCACGTCCACACAAATCTGGGTAAAATAATATGCGGATTCGTTTGGACAGGACTTTTCAGGAGGACTTTTTAGAAGCCCTAGGTTGCAGCGGCCTGCTTTTCACTTATGAAATTAAAATGGGTCAAATGTTTGTTAGATGACTCAATCATTTTTATATTATTAACGCAAGACAGCCGAATCCGAGAAAACTCAATTTAAAACTAAAAAAACTAATTTGCATTGCAATTCCATTTTATTTCGCGAGAAACTCCCCTTAGCCCATGCTTAAATGCCAAGCAACAAGAATGTTTTTTCCTGACAATATCATGCAATATAAAGTTGCCAAGCTAACAAACATATTGCGAAAATAACTGAATATGATTGCACAAGTGTTAACTTAACCTATACCAAAATTTGATTTTTAATTTTTTTTCACGTCTAAGTCGAACTTTTTGTGCCTAAAACATCAGCTTTTGCGTTATTAAAATTTCACAACTTCTGAGATGTTTACTGTATTAATCTTAATGAAAATTAAAAACTGATAAAGGATCGGAAATTAAATAAGGCACAATCCTTTTTAGAATTAGGGCACAACACATTGTATTTTACCGCGGAAAGGAAATAATAACACGCATTTCCTTCTGCGTCATTGAACGACCATATTGTCATTTCGTTCCACTAGCCCTCTTGTCTTAAACAAGTCTAGATTTGCCACCGAGGTAATATTACTAAGAAAATATAACATGAAAAATTAAGATAATTAACTAATTTCGACTTTGAACAAAATTAAAAAACTTAAGTTGAGTTTGCATATCCGTGAGCAAATTCAGATCTCACAAGAAGTAGTAGAATTAAAGATGTCAATCATATGTAATGCTTTCAACCTGACTTACGACTATATAACGAAACCTTTCATGGAGTAAAAATTCGACAATATAAATGACCTTGAGAAGAAGATACCATGGTACAAATGGATTTCACACGCGTTTGTTTATGCTGAAATAATTAGCAACGTAAGACAGTTAAAAGTTACACTTAAGGAATTTTTTCTCTGAAACCAAATAAAACAATGAAAGCTAGACTCATCCATCAATCAAGGTTAAATATCATTCAATTTTTGAACACGAAAATGATGTACAGAAATATCTCTCACAATTCTACGCACTGCTGAAAGACTTAAGCCAATACGTATAACATCAAAGAAAAGTTGGGTACAAAAACCAACACTCACGGTTTCTTCTAAGCAAGCACCTTTGAGGTAATCATAATAATGACTTCCAACGAACACAGGCCCAAAATAATTTCGTTTGGAGTAGGAATTCAGTTAGAATCAGCTTTATGTTAACGTAAAGAACTGATGCATCATGTTGAAAAATTCATTAAGATACCTTTCAGAAAAAAAATGAGTCGGTCTCAGTTGTTGGTGATTAACCCAACCGTGATGACAATGGCAACACTACGTAAAAATTAATTGTTTTAATTCTACGACTAGATTATTCTATCGCTTTCTTTTCGAATCCATGCTATGATAAACTCTTCAAGTCACCTCTGGCACTTCTTTAGGCTCGCGACACTCACTCCTTTCCAGCCAAAACTACAACGAGAAAGGCTTCACTTGAATTAAGGTTTAGACCGAGAAGCTTCACTTGTTTATCAAACTGAATTATAACTCAGTTTAGTTAGCGGCGACTGCCGTTGGCAGTCATAGTACCCGATGACAATGTTTATATGGTGCTAATAGTCACGAAAATGTTCATAGTTTTAGAAGGGTAAAGGTGTTTTCGCACATTTGAGGTTCTCTAACTTGTTCAGAATCCACGTGTCAATGTCTGCCCGCCTAAAATAACTCGGCCTAAAACTTGGCGCGACACGAATAAAAGTTTTATAGAGGTCACTAACTACATAAAACTTAACAACTGAATTTTTTCAGTCGTAAACTTTTGGAAAACATTCACACAACTCGTTCACATGCTAAACAATACGACAAAGATAAGACGTTACCTGTTATTTAGGTCTTGTCTCCCCTGATGTTTTCTTGAACTCGCTTCAAAGTGGTCGAACCACTTCCTTTTGAATACAAATTTTCTGTTGAATTAGCATATATGTTTTATATTTTGATGGTTTGACATGGTTGACTTACTTAAAGTGGCGGAAAATAATGTCGGTAGGCGATGTTGAGAATCTTTTCAAGAGTCCGTCGCCGCACAACTTATCGTAAATTAGCAGTAAAGCGTCTAATCTCGAAAAAATTCTTCAAACCAACATTTCTACAGTGATGTAAAACTAGATAAGTTTGTTATGAAATTATCTTATGGTGTTTTTAAACTGAGTGCTAGTACTGATGTCACCTACAAAAAATGTTTATAGGTTTCTGATGGATTTATTATTCAATGTTTTGATTTAAATCCGAAAAAGTAATTAGAGTTGAAATATGTCACTTGAGAAAAAAATTACAGCAAGACTAAAACCCTGTATAATAGGAATAATAACTATTCAGGCCAATTGAAAACATCAGATTTATCTTGTTGTCTTTTTTCTCTCTTCCTTTCTCACGCAAATATTTTAAACAATATTAACCGACCCTTCCTCGACAGTGATAGAAAAACGGTACATAAAATTTTAACCACAAACGATTTGAGCATGAGATTTGCAAAAAGAGGCGTTTGAAACAAAAAGGAAAATCATTGCCAATACCTTATAACCCTTTATCTATCTCCCAATTATGGTGTAACAACGATAGCCATTGAGAAAAAGCTCTAAAGTACGTTTCACAAGTCATGAAGTCGGTTTACTCTAGGCTTTATTGGCTAGAATTGTCTAATCTCCCTTTATTTCGATTGCGGTCTACCACTGTTTTCGTCACAATTGATTCATGTATCCACATAAAAGCAGACCGGAAGATTATGTCATAAATGGCCCGAAAACTTAGCCAAGCTTCACATACAGTCCATGGGAGCTTTTTAGTTTTACACAACAGCCAGTTTAAAATATTGCGTGTTTTGCGCGTTGAGAACAAAATGCACCCATATAGCAAAACAAACAAAAAACTCGTGTTGTGGTTACAGTTTTCTAAAATAAAATCCCGCCTTTCCAGTTAATCACGCAAACTACAAACAAATGTCTTCCGCCATTGATGACTGGGCGACATTCTGTCGAGAAAATATAGTTTTTATCTGACGGCCTTCCTAAACCGTGACATCGTCATTGTTCATATACAATGTGGGCCGGACGATGTTATCTGAAGGTCTTATATCACCTCGTTTATCAAAAACCATTATTTTGCACAATAAATCGACAATCTGGAACTCGGTGAAACCTAACATTTATGGCCTCCTTTTCCACCGATACCCTCTCGACTCGTTGGTAGGCCCGGTTATCAGCCGCTGTTCTGGCGGGAAATAAGCCCACGCTCTGCCTCACCCGAAATAAGACTCTTCTTGCGATCGAGAGAACGGCAGAAATCGAGCCTACTCTTTTTTTACAGAATTTGTTAGCCGGCAGTCCCACTATGCCAGTCTGAAGAAATGAAGAACGCACATTAAGCTCTTACCTCAAGCATCCTAAGCTTGAAAACGAAGAACAAAAATTGGATAACGAAACACCCTAAACTTGCTAGACACGAAAACGAAACCCACAAATTCAAAAACAAGACACCCTCAATTCAAAACCGAAGCTGTTGAACCTGAAGTCACGAAACATACACCCTCACCTCAAAAACAAAACAATTTCGACACGAAAACGAAGCAACCTAAACGTGAGCCGAATTACACCCTAAACTAAAAGGAAACACCTTCAACTAGAAAACGAAAGCCAGAGTAAACTTTTTGTAAAGTAATAAACAATCTCAACTAGAACGCGAAACCCACTAAACTCGAAACCAAACAACTTAAACTCGAAAACGAAGCACCTCCGCCTCTTGTATTAGAATCCAGCGAGACTAGAAAAAAAAACGAAAGCCAGAGTAAACTTTTTGTAAAGTAATAAACAATCTCAACTAGAACGCGAAACCCACTAAACTCGAAACCAAACAACTTAAACTCGAAAACGAAGCACCTCCGCCTCTTGTATTAGAATCCAGCGAGACTAGAAAACTAAACTCAGCCCTCTAAAGTCCAAACGAAGAACCGCAGCACCCTCGTCTCCCCAACTGAAACGAAATTGAAGCCTCTTAGCACACTTGATTAAACTTAAAAACCCTGGAAAACGAACGAACCGCTTCTGAGTCTTAAGTAATTTGATCTCAGTGGAACATACTTCGTGTATTAAAGCAAGGAATTCTTCGCAATGGTGCGTCTTTGGGATGGTTTTGACTGTGGCAAAAGGAAGTTTAAGATGTCAAGAGGGCGAAGGCAACAAGAACCGGTCAAAAAATGCAATAGGTTTACTAATGATAAGCAGAACTCTGCACGTGCCGCGAACGTGCATCACTCTTTCGATTCATTTCCTTGCTCTCGACATTTTCGCTACCGTAGCTTAAATCTTAGGCCCCGGTCAAACGTCAAAACTCTTCAATATTAAAAAGGATACCGAAATCAGTTCAATTTTCTGGATTTACCGCGGTGTAAGAACCTGTATTTCTTCTGCTTGGTTTTTCACCTCTTGTCTTCCTAGCTTCTATTGGGTTGACTCCCTGTTTTCGCTGTTTTCCCCTCCCCTGAGTTTGAAGACGACCCAATTTTCAGTTAACCATAAAACGTCTGGCGTAAAATAAAGCGACCTTATTTAGTAAGAGGATAGCGTTTACGTCCTGCGTAAAGATTTTATCACTAAAACTGGTCTCAAGTGCGTTTTATAGGTCACGCGCTCACAGGTCACAGCGCTGGTCACCGTGCCGTGGCCTTAATCACAATCCAGAATGTTATTTAAGATTGAGCGGAACCGTTTTACTTTATTAGCAATGGATAAAACAGTGACCTGTACTCACTCACGACTTGTTGAATGTGACCTATAAGCTTACAAAATTAAACCACCCAGAGCAGGACATTGAGTTTGTAAAGATTGAAATTGTGAATATTAATACATTTTTTTCCCATGGGATGGAACTAAAAGCTCATCTTCAACTCCTCGTAGCAAAACAAAGAAGCTTTCAGAGAGTGAAATCAAGAAGCTGTACCGACAATAGTGAGACAACAAAACTGGGATAGAACGGAAAGCTCATCTTCAACTCCTCGTGGCAAAACAAAGAAGCTTTCAGAGAGTGAGAAATCAAGAAGCTGTACCGACAATAGTGCAAGACAACAAACTGGAACACGATACGATACAAATTATACCTTTTTTGCGGTTCAAGTGAGCTAAATCAAGAAAACCCTACCTTTTGTTTAGCTCACATTCCTCAACATTTCTTCGCCACTTCGTCAATCACAACTACAATGGCGACGATGGCGTCAGATTCTCCGCTGAATACTGCTGACCGCTGGCCCTTTTTTTCCCCGCACTAGTATCGTATTTCAACTGATGAGAGTCTACAAAGTCATTCTTAAACTCACTCAAGTTAAATATTCATTCTGGTCATTCTGGGATTCGATGTAGGTTTGGATTTGGATTCAAATTGATTTGTAGGGTAGTGCACGAACCTCAGGCGGGCTTTTGCTTTCACGAGCGGATTCTTATGCCAGTCGTCAGAAGCACTTTTTTATAGCAGTTTTTCTACGAAGACGCATAATATGTGCATTCCATATATTAGGATCTGACGGCTTGCAAACAACAGTTTTCAATCGCAGAAATGTGAAAACAACTGCAGGATAATCTCTCTAGCATGCGCACAAAGACATAGCTTGTATAAAGAAAAACACAATATAAGTTGATAAAGAACTGAACAGCAAAAGAACAGTAGACCGGATCTAGACAGGACAGTACGGGCTTTTAATTCGTACCCAGTGTATTTTGGCGTAGTCAAGGGCTAGGGTACTAAAATTTAACACTCACCACTTCATGAAAGAATTAAGAATGTGTTCATTTAATGAGTGCGGTAAAAACTCAGTCCGTGATAATCACAAGCAACAAAGCTCCAGACAGATAGTCTTAAAACTGCCTTTTCTCTCTAGAGTTTTCCGAGCGTGCGTATGAAAATAAAAACCGCGGGGAATTTATAGGCCCCTAGGGCAAGGGGTTGCGGGTGGGAAAATGAAAATAATTTTCTCGCGTTTCCAAAATTCGTGGGAAAATAAAACAGCATGATAACGTCTGTGTAAAGACAATTCTCGAATTCGAACTGCCAAACAGATTGTCGTCTAAGGCTACAACACAGGCTCGGTTTCACTTATACCTTACCGCAAAATCCTTTCAAAATGTCTAAGGTATAACCATGTCAAAATAGGTGGGATCGCTTACAGAACTTATGACTACAACTTCATCCCCAGGGCTGCTCTGGGGGCGATATTTCTTAAATTTACAATAACCAGCACCTTTTAATTGTTAGTCCTTTAAGTTGAATGGCCACTGGCCCCTGCGGCTGGGGGTGAGAGACGAGAGGGGCATCCCATTATTTTCTCGCTGGGACGTACCCATCTATTGTGGCCTGGGCCCCGTCTCTCGAAAGTCCTGGTAACTTTTCCGACCCGAAATCAGATGTTCAAATCAAAATCTAAAGAATAAAGACGCGCTGGTTCTAGTTAACTAACCAGCCCATTTTGTTTTGTTAACTGATAGTTTTATAGACTTTATAATTTTATCTGCCCATTTATTGAAACTTCTTTCTTGAATGTAAACAACAACAGCTTTCTGGCCAATTATACGGGTCCGAAACGTTTTCGGCTTTTTCGAGAAAAGCACGCCTGATTGTCAGGCGGTGCCCGTGCAGGGCGGTCGCGGCTACTTACTCCGCGTACGTGCGACCTTGACCATTTTGAGCATGACAAAAATATCAGAAAATTGCTCGCAGTCTTGAACTACTTCCACACGGGCTCGGTATAAATTTGGAAATGCATGCGCATACGAACTTGTTACTTAATGGGTGCCAACTCGAGAATGTACAAAATAGGTAAATTCCCTTTGAGATATTATTGAGGTAAACCAATTGCTAAACTGATAAACTCGAATCTACAGAGGAACAGAAACTAGAGTACACTTGAACATGGAAAATGCCACAAAATGCCACATGGACAGCGCAGGGACTTTTAACCGAGAAAATTTTTTGGACTGAATTTTACCCAGCCTGCGTACCTGGCAGTTTTTTGTTTTTTTGTTTTTAGTGTGTCTGTTCTGTTGTGGTTCGGAAAGTAAGAGAATCCATTGCCTTCTCCCCACGCCCCCTCTCCCGATCGTTTTCTGTTTCGACCTAGGTTCAGCATACGCGCCGCTCTAAAACTCTTACTTTGGGAACCATGAAAGAACAATAAAAGAACACCCCCCTTCCCCCCCAAAAAAAACACCGCCAGCTACGCAGGCTAAATTTTACCTATTATACAAGAATGTCAATACCTGTTACCTCTTACCTGCGAATAGGGGCAGCAGGCCATGACGGGACTAATATAGAAACTTTAACACACACGTGCACACGAGCGGATTCTAATGCTTTGCATAAAGCAATGTATGTAGCTCGGTGAATCGTTCAATAAAAAGAACAAACTGAGTTGCCAGAATTTGCAAAAAGAGATCGACTGGATTACCTTCAAGCTCGCAAGATTAAGACACTCCAACCTCCCTCCCTTCCATAGGAAGACTGTCGCATCCATTATAATTCATTTACGTGTCTGCGTATAGTTTTGTTTACTTAAACAATCCACCTGTATTGACTTAGTTATCCTTCAAAACATCACAACAATGACAAAATTTACAATTCTTTTTTATGAACTTGGTAACAGTCATCATCTTTCATTCATCTTCAGTGAAATTAGTTTTATTTTGAAACCGTGTGTCGTTTACTTCCCTAGCCTAAAAAGTAGAAGCCTTGATTGACAATAAAACTATGATTGAAAAGTACACTATCGGTACGTTTTTCATGCAATATCGCGTTCACGAGAGTACTGAATCAGGCTACAAAGCCAAGGATCAATCGATCAAGAGAAATTCCTTTATTTTTAAACACGATTGAAGAGAAATACCAATGAAAGACACCATTATTTACCATGGCGTCTCTTCTTTGTTGAACCTTTTGTTTTCAGAATTCATCAGGCGTGGCCAACTCCACGCCTTAAATTCAAACATAGATTAATTTCAAATTTATTTCCAAAGAACTGGCCTACTTCACATGATCCACCTTTGTGGTTTTACATAGAAAGACAAAACAAAAGTTTCTTCTACGACTTTCACTTTCTCTAGATACAAGCTCGGATAGTGCGTAATTGTTTGAGCTCAAGCACTGAGACATTTTCAATGACTCTCCAACTGATCTATCTACTCTAGTAAACATTCGATTAGTTTCAGTTCATGTCTAGTGATCTTAAAAGTACTCACCTAAAATGATGCCTTGTTCACCAAAGTTATCTTTAAGATGTGTAATGACTGTAATACTTCCAACACGGATTCTGGGCGGTTCAAAAAGGAGCAAACTTTTTGTCGCTAAATAACACGTATTTCAAGTGTTCCCTAGTCAGTGGATCTCGATCAGTACCAAACAAAAGAATCATCAACACATCTAGTGGGCCGGACGCGAGGCTTAATCCTCGCTTCTTTCAAGAATTGATTACGTTAAAGGATGTTTGCGCACGTTGCGGTTTGCTCAGTCGACTTCTTCTGTTGCCGAGTAAAATGTGGCTCAATCAGGAATTGACGTACGACCCCTGTACACTTCTAAATGTCGTTGGGTTAAATAACTGTCTTCCATGCCTCACAGGTGAAATAAATCCGAGAGATACGAGATATTTTCTGACCTGTATTCGATCGTTTCTTCCCGTGATCACTCAGACGTGAGTTACTGGAAACAGTAAGGAGGCTAACAAACACGTGGGAAAGTTAATGGTACGATGAATACAGGGGAAATATTGTCGAGTTCTGTTCACGAATAAATTCGCGCACGGACTCGAGCGATGCTTTGTAGACCATGTGGTTACGTTGCTTTTAGGTTTTTAGCATATCTTTGTTTTTCAATGGGGCGGACAGGTGATTCTAAATGACAGGTGAGATTGGCAAAGTGAATTAATCATTTGCGATCTCAAGCGACTTGTAAACACTTATTGTGCTTAATGGTTGGCAACCACTGAGTAGCATGCGCGCGTAATTTTCGCGCGGCATGGCGTCCGCGTCCGTTCTCTGTTGCAAATCACGTAGACACCACTTTTTCGGGCAAGACATTTGCATCATTACTTCTTCTTTATTCAAAAACTGGTAAGAAAAAAAATTGTTTTTTAGATGTCCCAGGGCTAAATTGAAGGGTGCCAAACCAGTGAATAAAAAGAAAGTACTAAAAGTTTATAACAAACCGGCGAAACACAACTGAAAAAAGAATAAATTAATGGAATAGAGAAACAAATTATGCTCGTGCCGGCAGAAGTTTTTCGGTACATCGATTAAAAATAATCATAAAAGGACAGTCATTAAAAATAAAGGAAAATCATCAAGTTTTTAGCCAAATTTATTCGGTTTGTTCGTGAAAAAACCGCTAAATTGCTACGGTGGTCTAGTTATAATGAAGTCTCGGTAAAACTATCAATTTTCTTTACCCTATTAATAGTAAAATAAGAAAAAGAACCTCGATATAACGAAACCTCATTATAGCGAATACATTTTGCCAGTCCCTTGGCCCCTCGTTATTTCGAGGTTCCACTGTATAATCATGTTGGCAGCGGCAACTCAGTCACTTTGTTCAGTCAGCAGCATTCGGAATACGGCGCTTGTAACAAGCGTCAACGCTTCATTTCTGAACCAAATCGACGCGCTATAATCTTTTTTTTTTCGAAAGGAAACATATATATTTAATTTTAATTAGTCCTGTTCAAAAGACCTAGTTTTAAAAGAGCATATTGTTTGTTCATAAGCTCTTAAGTACGAAAAACGACGTATCTTTCGAAGGGGATTCAACCGCGTTGGCATTATAAAACTTTTCTCTTCTCGGTGTACATAAAAAATTTCTAATCATCTTTGGCTCATAAACTTTGATTAATTTATTTCGAAACAATTTGATAACAAAAATATGTAAAAATAGAAATTGCCTATTTGACGAAGCTGACTAACCAATGACAACCGGTTGATTTTAATCTAAGCCATGAGCCAATACAAGTTCTCCTGCACGGTGAGTCTATGAAACTCTGTTGCAATAAAACTACCTTCTCCTTTGTTCAAGACAGTCCATTGTTCTCCCTCTGCATGTCTGACAATATAACTGTTTGTTCATTTTTTTGGCTTTCACGAGTTTGACGGAGTTAATGGAATCAGTCTCTGTTTTGGGCGATTATCGAAATACAAGTCCTATCATGATTATCACAAGGCAACCACAAATGAAAAAAAACACAAGACAGTGACAATAACTTTATTTATTTGCTTTATGAAAACAATTCACAAAAATATAAAAGCTAAAAATTTCTTAGAAATCTATATTTTGTGGACCTTCGCGTCGTTTTCCCCTGCATTATAACTGTAAAGTATAAAACGATAAAATCTGTCCCAAAGGTTATTAATATAATACGCATTCAGGCCTTTTAAAGTTATTTGCCCTATTATGAATAAAATTCGTAGTTTTTCTCCCATTTTACATTTTGACTGAACAACACACATGATACACAAGTGCGCACAGTGCTAAAATGAACAGGATATAAACACGCTAAAACATCATAGGGAGGGTAAATGTTAATTATCCCTATTGATAAAAGTACAATTTACATTCGCTTACATGAAACAATTGTTCTCACAATGAAGCCTAAAGCATCAACTAATCGTTTACAGGGAATATCTAGTGTTAGGAAAGCTAAGAACAATCCAAGCTACTGAGGTAGATTTTCAAAATAGAGCACAGGAGAGAGTAGCCATCAGTCAGGGTTCATACAAAAAATTGGAACCATTTTTCAAGGATTTTTTAAGAAGCACATTAGATTTTCAAGGACCACCTACTAGGAATATAATTTCACAGATTGTGCAAAAATGAACATTCCCAGTCTACTCTAACAAGACTTTAAGGATTGAACTGTTTGCTTCACCAAGTTCTCCCCATTTTTCAGTGCAATGGTCTTAAATTGATTGCATAAAACATAGGGCACTCAGTACGTACATAACCTTTAAATTCTCTGAGCGCTATGATTTATATTCTGTCTTCGACAACCAAAAAGCATAAAAAACTCTTTCCAGGCCACTACATTCAAAGCTGAAGAAAATTCACAGAACTGCAGAGAAATTTAAGGACTTTTCAAGGAAAAATGGAATTCAAGGATTTTTCAAGGACTTCCCCCTAAAATTCAAGGACTTTTGAAGACTGTGCGAACCGTGTCAGTACGTAAGGGTATATAAGGCTATTTTGATTATACTGGATAGCTTTTGCGCTGTTCACACACAACGGTTATGGCGGCCCCCAAAGAGTGACATATCGGATAGGTGTTCATACTTTCGTGACGCCGCGAAAAGCCATCCGGTATATTTTTACGATAATTGCAGCTATGATATTTAGCTTGCGTGACTAGAGCATATAATAATTGCTTTGTAAAGAAGGTTTCCAGGTTAAAAGTGTCAAGAAGTTTTGTCCTTTAAAGGTAAGTGTTCTTCCTATGAGATACTTCGACTTTTTCATGATCTCCCGAGAGAGTCGCCGACTCGGACCATCTTCGTTTTCCACTCGGCTCTTCGTACTTTATCGCCACATTGCCAGCATCAACCGCATTGGCCGCGGGGATATTCTTAGCACTACCATAAGGTCCATTGGCATGGTAAACAATATCACCACTTTGCAGCTCCTTGGGATTATGTTCTGCGTTTACATGATAAACAACATCTTTGGTTTGAAATTCCGGTTGAGCACTGCCATTTTCAGAGTATGGCTTTTGCTTCAACACATCTTCGTTCAAGAAAGTGCGCGATCCGCTCAAATTCGGACTCTCTCTGCCAATCTCGTTTAAGTAGCCTTTCTGAAAATGCGCAACTGGCCGAAATCCCGCAGAGTGTTCAATACTGGACGGGGGCGGCACGTTTGACGCAGAGCTTGTTTGTTGACGATGCCATTTAACCCAAGTGTAGACAACGAAGGCAAGAAGGATTACTAGAGCTATAACACACACTAGGATCATCAGGGCATCAAGTGTCTCAGCCATGTTGCTTGTAGTTGTTTCTTTCAATGTTTGTTCTTTTAACAAAGGGAAAAGAAAAGTCAATAATCAGTACGCCGAGTACTAGAGATGCAAACAAAAACAACAGTACTAAATCACATTCACTTTCCGACTCCCTGTTCCCCTTAACCTTAGAAGTACAGGTTTCAGTCATTTTCACAAAAACAACTAACTATGAAACGTTGAAAACAATTCTGTTCGCTGAAAAAATCAGTGGCGCCCGTGAAGGGTTTGGCAGAGGCGGAGACTGCGGGGACCACACATACGGGTACGACCGGGAAATGGTTTTTGTATAACCTGCTCGAATTCTCCCTTCCCCTAGCCTGCGTGGCAGGCGCAAAAAGGGAAGGGGGAGGGGGAGAAAGGGAACCCTCTCTCCTCAACTCCCCCTCCCTTTTTTCCTTCCTCCCAATCCCCTATACCCCTTTCGACGCATGCTAGGCAGGCTACCTTCCCCTTCCCCTTTTCGTAACGCCTGCCACGCAGGCTAGTTCCCGTATGGCATTCTAGCTCTAGTCGGTAGAGGACAGGTGATCTAATCCGAACGATGTGGGTGCAGTGCCTAAAAAGATAGAGGGCCAATTGTTATAGCAGAGTTAACAAGAGAAGGTAGAGGTGTAAAGAGTGCCTTTTGAGGGGGCAATCAAGCGAAAACACCAGGGGGAAAAGACACTCCATCATCTCGCTTCCACTCTATAGGGGAAATTAATGTCGAGGCAGGTCCGGAGCAACGCGGTACAGAATGGCAGGGAAAGGCAAGTTCGAGGATCTGGAGTCAAGGGATGGTAGAAAGCCCGTGAAGTAATCTTCTGTCGGGAAGAGGACGACTGTATATTGAATGTATTCGGACTCCGTTATTTTTAGGTTTTTGAATTCACTTTATTAAAATGCTTTTCAGCTTATTCATTGTCGGTTTTAGAGTTGTAGATTTTCATGGCTACTCTGACAAGGCAATTTTTCAGGAATCGTTTCTTAGCGAGATGTTGAAATGTACGCCAGAGTCAAATGTCGCGGGAACTTCAGGTGTGACACGTCTAATGCTAAAAAAAAACAGTTCTTTTTTGCTGATAATTAAGGATAAGGTTTGTCACATGTAAAGTTCGAATTTTGACCTGGGCCTAAGCTGCAAAAGGCGGTATAAACCGCTTTATCGAGCGATTGCCTTCTTATACCGTCTTCTTAGGCAGTACTTGGTGTTTCTAATCCTTAATTCAAGTTTGAAATAAGACGGAAAGTGTCAAAACGATATCATTCTTAAGGGTACTTCAGTATGTGGAGTATTTAGCAAACTGTTTTGGTAGTATTTTATTCGCATCTGATTTCATCCATTTGGGGCATGGGGGCAACTATAACAGGATGTGTAAGCTTCCGGTGGCGACTACACAAATCCAGATTTATCAAATCTTTACAACTTGTCTGCATGGGCGGAATTAGTTTTCGATTGTGATCAGAACACTTGGCAAATGTTCATTACAACAATTAGCAATTTAAATTTCTAAGGCATTTAAATACCCGAAGATTGGTTAAATTTGTTCATTCTTAAAATTTTGTTATTTAATAACGAATTTTATCTACCCGTGCACATATCCGACTATTTTTGCTGAAAGTAACGTAAAAGAGAATCTCAGTGGATTTCGTCAACTTGCGGCTTTTTTTAATGTATTGTAGAACGCAGACGCTTTTCAACAACAATAGTTCAGCCCATTGTGTTTAGAGCTCTGCTCTTCGACTCCGTATTTTACTGCTGTTAAGACTCATCGCGGGGTACGTTTTATGCAGCTCCACTAAATCTCTCGTATAGACTTTCTTCATCCAATCTCACACAAGTGAAGACTGTCAAAACCGACTGATCATGAATGGTCTTCTTTCCAAACATGCAAATGAGCAATGATTCAGGCTGCAAACTTTGTTGAGCTCTCCCTTTGCTTCGTGTACATGTCCTTTTAAACGAGCGTGCACGATACTGTTTTCTTAGTTGACCCCAGAGCCCGATGCTTCCTTCCGTCGGGGGCCGATTCCGTTTTTATGTTTCAACAGAAACAAGCTTGTATGCCGCACTGGAGCGCCTAGAGCGCCTATAGCGTGTTCAAAGCACCTGAATGCAAACCCATTGACGAGAGAAGCGATGCGTGGCGTAGAAGTAATGTTTAAATGCGCTTTCACGTGGATGCTTTGTTCCGAAGTACATCAACTCCTGAAAAGCTTAGTCCCCGGCTGCATCGGAAAAATTAAAAAAACATTTTTCTTCGTCGCTACTGACGATTTGGGTTGGAAATTTACGACGCTATCACTTAATTAACGCCCTCTCAAACTCGAGTCATAAGTTAACGCCGACCGATGCAACCGCGACCCATCCGTTAACTCGTCATGTGCGTTTAAATAGTACTTACCAATTAACGATGGTGACTCAGATTTTCATGAAACCCTCTAAGACTGCGTTTCTTCGCTCTGTAAACTTAGCCAACTTGCTATTTACTCAATCAATACCACAAAACACGACCACGTTACGATCCAGTGACCATAAACTGAATTTGCATGTTTTGGCACAACTTTAGAACTTGTCTGCCAGCGTCGTCACACTGTTTGCCGACAGGTTGCCGACAGGGCCGACAGGGCCGACAGGGTGGTCTGTTTGCACGTATAGGGCACTGGGCATGAGATATCACGTGATATATCCCACACTGCATTGCAATCTTCAAGCCGCGCCAAGCTGCCAAGATGGCGGCCTCCGCGATAGAGGAAAGCGAAGTAGTGACAACCTTGTCGGTTACTCTGAATATTTCTAAAGAAGTAATTGCCCAGATTGCCAGCTCAAGTGAAGATGCAGCTACCGTTCTCCGTAAGGTTAAAGAAGTTTTAGATGAACGCGCGTCTAACGATGAGAAATATCGCGCAGACATGGCGAACCTTCGACGTGCTCGTGTGAACGCAGGTTTGTGATTTCTAAAATAATTCTGGCGGTTTAACTCGTTTCAGAAAATGTAGAAGAAAATTGAAACGTGCGAATTGTTGCAGTAAACTGATGCGCAGCAACTTCCTCTAGCAGGACATATTTAAACAAAAACTTTGTCGACGTTCATGCAGTCGTTCTACTTTTAAAATGTTAAAGTTCATGAAAATATAAGCTTAAGGTTAAGCTTAAACTAGATTTAAGAGTAAGGTTTACTTTTGCAAGTTTGTTAAAACGAGAGAACATCTTCATATTTAGCGTGACAATCGTTGGTAACTTAAAGAAGTGTTCCTTTTTTTCGAATTTTCCTAGGCCAGCAGGCGATGTAGATAGGGCATGCACTGTAATCACAAACCCAAGGTTGAGTTAAGTTAACTGAACATGTGAAAGTTTTGCTTCCACATAGAGCAACAGTTTAGCCAGATTGAGAAGCAGCTCATTTCGTGCAATGCCAGACTTGAATCGGAGCAAAAGCAACATGCAAGACTTCAAAAAGAACATGAGGAAACAGGTAATGTGTAACCGGATCAAATGAACAGCCAACAATGTACAGTGTATATAGGAAACGTTGATGATGGTCAATGAATTTGTTTAAATGTAAATCAAGGATGAAAACTCACTGTTTAACTTTTTATTCATTGTAATTTATTTCTTTGTCTCATTATGATTTGTTTCATATGTATAGTGGTATCACTAACAACTCTTCACAGGGGTGTCTCAAAAACTTACCTTGAGAAGTAAGACTTCAAAACAAGGTTTTCAATAAGGTTTTAAGTAGGTGGCAAAAGCTTTGGAGTGGGCAGAAAAGTAAAAAACTTGTGCCATAAGCACCATTTGTATGTGCCAAGGTGCGAGCTCCTGGTGGGGTCTGGGGCATGTCTTGGGAAAAGATGTTGAAATCTGGACCTCTTAGAATGCATTTGCAGGATTCTGGAGTAAAGATGAGAGTGTCTGAACAAAACATAGACATCACTAAATTTTGGCTTTTTTACTCAGCGACAGCACATGAATACTCAATTTTTGTTATTTTCCTCTTGCCAATAGCCATGAGCAAGAGATTCTCTCTTGCTATGAACCATTGGCTCAGTTGCTGAACTAGATTCTTGCAATAATCTTGATGCTTTTTAAGCTGCAAATGAACCAATAAATGACGGAAATGTGATTCTTTAAAAACTGGTGTTTGAGGATTATTAAACTAAAGACAAAGGACATATATAGACGCTTTTCTTGAGGGCGATTCAGGTCAAGCAGAGTTCTTTGTGTTTTCCTTGCTGTGGACTTGTCGTGAACTCTGCTTGACCTCGCCATACATTGAGAGAACGCATGGAAATTTATGCACATGCTGTGCTGCTTTGTCACCCAGACCCCACGGTTTTGGGGAAATGCAAGTTGCTTAACAGGGTGTTTGGCTTTAATGATTGAATGAAAGCTACTCAAAATTAAGGAAAGACTTTTTGGCTTTTCTTGAACAAAACTTTACTGATCCAAGGTTTGTGTTCTGGGGCGAATGTTTCTCTGGGGTAATTTCCAAAGAAAAGTAGGTGGCAAGTTCATGTTAAATAGCCGGCAAATTTCACTGGCGGCCGGCTCTTATTGAAACCCCTGTGGGACAAAAACTAATGGCTGGCCCAAAAACTCAGACTTCAAAAAGGAAGACCTGTCAAAACCAAGAGTGCTAAAAAAGAACCACTAAAATAAAGTAAAATGGATGCTTTAAAATGAAACTAGGGTATTTACTGTGATATGGCAAGTTGCAACATTTCTAGCATTGTCTACAGTGACGCAACCACTCGGTCCTACTCAATCACAATGATTAGGTTCAACTTTGAGTTTGGAAATCCAATACAAACAAATATCACAGATTGCATTTGATAGGTCAATTATTGACCTATCAAATGCAATCAAACTATGATTGTCAGTTCAATTAGGCTCAAGGGGTGACAGGCCACACATTTTCACAGGCTTGAAACTTTTGAACATTGAGTTCTCCTCCCCATTAACTACTTTTCCATCTCTGCTTCTGCTCCTGTCACTAAGTTTCTGGGTGGCTCCTAACCTTCAAGATAGCAACACATACATGTACACTCGGTGATGATGGGAACTCGAGCACCAATGGTATACCTGCGCTACAGTCCAGCCTTACAGTAACAATTCACCAATAAAAATAATGATGGTTGTGAGAAAAATATATTTTCATAGCACCACATTTGGGCACATTAACGCAAGTAGTCCTTCCCATTCAAAACTGAGTGAAAACAGCATCTTATCAACAGTACAGCTTAAGCCTTTATCCATTCATAATCTTTGGATAGTTTTCGAGGTATTACTTTTTGAGGCAGGTCTTAGTCTTACAGGTCTTACATTTTAGAGGTCTTGCAAATGGAGGTCTTAGTCATCCCTCTTCGCAATGAAAATGTTTTGCCCAAAGCAATTCCACTTTAACCCACTTATATGCATGTAGTTTTAATAATACAGTGTATATGTTTTTCTAGGGGAAATTTACATCTCAAAATGCTCAAGTTTTTTCCACTTATCTTAAAGATGCTACAGATGAGCAAAACTTATTTGGTTGTACTGATGATAATTATGTTCTATTCAACATTTTTGTAGTTACTACCCTCACTGAAAAACAAAAACGGCTGCAAGAAGTTGAAAGCATTAAAGAAGATGCTTCTGCAAATTATGTAAGTTACATGTATTGTATTATTTGTCTTGTCTGTAAAAGTGATTTTATTCAATGATGGAATGATGTGTGAATAAAGTGTAATAACAGTTATTGGATATGAAAGGGACTATGTCACACTTCTTGCTACATGTATCTTTTTAAAAAGCTGAATTGGTCTTCACATCCATTGAATTCCAAAAATTATGGTCCAGTTCTGTTATTTAAGACTTTATTTAAGCATTGAAACTGTGTCCTGTCTTATGTTGTTATCAGGGTTTGCACACATCTTGAAAGGCCTTGAATTTTAAAATAAAAATTCAAGGCCATGAAAGTCCTTGAAAATTGCAGTCTCTGACGGAAGGTCCTTGAATTTCAGTGCTAATTTTATAGTTAAGTTGAACTCTAAAGAAAAAGGAGCAAACACAGAAAGACCTTCGTGATAAAATTACTCATGTTGTGGAAGAACTAAAAAAGGAATAGACTCAAAGCTCTTTTTTGCACTGAATGGAGTCCTTGAAAAATGGGAAATGTGTCCTTGAAAAGTCCTTGAATTGTTTGTTCAAAAGAGGGTACGAACACTTTGTTATAAATGGATGGCAAGGAACATGGACTGAAAATTTTTGAAAAATGGCCCAATGTTTTTAAAGTGTTAATGCTAAACCTTGAAAAATGAACAAAAAATATTATGTTTAGTGCTCCCTGATGAAACTTGTTTGATGTCTTCTTCATAACTCTACAGTTAGCATTTTTGTATGCTTGGTAAAGGTACTAAACAGTGACAGTAATATCCTTGTGACAGAGCTAGCCGTTTAATATATCAGTTTATTATATAAACACCAATGAAATACCTTTAATAAAGGTGCTATTTTGCTGTTTCAAAAAGAATTAAAAAAAAGTTGCGTTTTATGTAGGAAAAACATGATATCTTCACACTGGGGGTGTGAATTTTGTGTAAAAATGACATGTTATCTTCAGATAAAATTCGTATCCCTGCACAGCCATGTAATATCCTCTGTTTATTATATAAGCACCAATGAAATACCAGGTGAGCTTTCGCGCGAAAACATGATATCTTCACAAGTCATGTGAAAATAACGTATTACCTTCACACGTGAAATATCACTGTTGCTATGGCTACATAATAAATCACTCCTTTCACAGCAAAACTATTAAAGTGAAATGGTTCGGTATTTCATTGGTGTTTGTGTAATAAAATAGAACAATGGCCTCTTGGAAATACAAAATTTCTCTTCAAGTGTTGAAAATTTTTTCATATTTTTAAACACTTGAAGAGAAATTTTGTATCTCGGAGTGGCCATGTAATATCCTCTATTTCATTGTTGTCTTTTTAGTCAAGAGTTTCAAGACTCAATGAACAACTTGAATCTGAGAAGCTTGAATTGCTCTCTATAGTGGAAAGGAAAAACCAGGAGATAGACAGGTTAAATGGTAAGGCAACTCTTTCATTGCATTTTGATTTTAAACATCATTGTGACTGAATGAACATTATTTATGAAAAAAGGTACTCTTAATAATTATTTTTTATACCAGTAAACTTGATGGCCTTCATTAAATAAGTTGAGTTTTCTAATGATACATACTATTTGTATAGAAGGTACATATATTTTGGGGTCAATTCAATAAAACATTTACATGTACAAGTGTATGTGATTTACAAGTGTAGCTATTGTTTTCAGACTTCATTTATAATACAATAATTGCTACAATTTTAAATTACACTGTACATTTGTAAGAGTTTTATACAATTGGCTCGTGGTAATAACAAAGTTCAAAAAAGCTGTGAACAGCATAGCCTGAGTTTTGTTAGCTGTGAATAAGAGAACAAACATGTAAGCAGTGAGAGAAGGGAAAACTTTGTTTTAGAGGGCTAATGGTGAGAAGACCAGATTGTCAGTTTGTTAATAGTAATACTTGTAGAACACCATTTTCTCATGATGTATTACACTTTTAGAGGTTGACATAAATAGGATTAAATATAATTTAACTTAGTTAATGATTTGGAGCAAGCTGTCCCAGCAGTAGATTTGGCATGGCATTAGTGTTTATGGACATATTATCTGGGGTGCTGGCAGATATCTTATTGCATGCCATTGTTGTGTTATTGTTTTTGGCCTAGTTTAAGGGCCTCCAGCATTTTGCTTTGTCAGCAGTTTCTCACATGGTTTATGCATGCAATACTCAGACTGTTCTGTGCTCATGACATTGTTTTCTCACAGTTTTGTCCTTCTCTTTCCCTTTCTTCTTCCTTGTATCTCCCTGCAGTTATGTGTTGTAATTACATTACTAAGTCGTTTTCCACTGAACTTCTTGGCTCTCGGTGACAGATTCTAGGGATTGGGGGTGGGGAGGGCACATGGCTGGGTTTCAGGAAGGGCAGGCTTATGGTGTGCTCCACAGACCTGTCTTCAGGGTGTCCAACCTCCATTTGCAACTTTGGCACTGCCCATCAAATTGTACTCTATTGAAGGCACCTTACAAGTACAGCAACATTACTAGAACTATGATGTCACACTGAAGATTTAAACTCTCAATTTGTTTTTAAATTGAAAGTATTACTTACTTACCCGGCTCTGTATTTGTGTCAACAGAGGAATGGAAGACAATGTCAGAAAAGCTTTCAGAAGCTAACTCAGTCAAGTGTGAAGCTCAGGTTAGTATCAATAGTAGTGAAAAAAATGGAAGTTAGAGTCAGTACAGTGTAGTTGCACATTATATATTGTTTTTGTTTTTATATGAAAGTTGTGCTGCAGCAACTCACACATTACTGTTATGTTTTATGAGTTAAGCCTAACTTTCAATGCCACCCTTCATGAAGAGTTAATAAGGGGAGATTTTGTTCAAGAGAGGTTTTGTCAAGAATGCAAGTGTATTTTCATAGCTAAGTGGAACTATTCAGAGTACATAAAATCTGAGCTCATACAGTTTTACCAAGCCTTGCTCTGTGATGCAGTGCAGCTGAGTCATCAGAACCTTGAACCCGCAATCTGGAGGTCTCGTACTTGAGTCCTGCTCTGACCAATAGTTAGATTAGTTTCTCACGAGTTATGAGCTCAACTCCTTAGTTACTGAATGCTTGTAAATAACCAATTTGTTGCTTCCTGCCACTGGGGGTTTTTAATCCTTGTTATATTCTACATTTTCGCATTGCTTTTTTCAAGTAATGTGAATGATCTGCCTGTGAACTAGCTAGGGAAGTTTACTGCACTTCCACTATAAACAATGAATTTACATTTTACATGTACTTCTCCCTCTAATATATGATTATGTCTTTGCTCTGTAGGCTAAACTAAATCATATTGAAAGTCAAGAAACTTCATTTAAGGTAATTCTCACTTTTCGCCAGGCTAATGATCCATGCTATACATGACTGTAGTTTAACTGTAATGATCTATACCTGTACATGGCTGTAGTTTAAATGTAATGATCTATACTATACGCTGTACATGGCTGTAGTTTAACTGTAGTGATCTATGCTAGTACATGGCTGTAGTTTAACTGTGATGATCTTTTCTAGTACATGGCTGTAGTTTAACTGTGTAATGATCTATACTAGTACATGGTTGTAGTTTAATTGTAATGATCTGTACTATACATGGCTGTAGTTTAACTGTAATGATCTATACTATGCATGGCTGTAGTTTAACTGTAAATTTTTACTTTTTTCCTGGTATTTTTTCTATCCTTGACTTAGTTTCGTGAAAAGAGAATTGAACAAGAAAAGGAGCTTCTTCAGAAACAGGTCACATGGTCGAATGAAGAACTCAAAACAAAAACTGAGGAGTTGGTGAACTTACGTAAAGAAAAGGTACCTGTACACTTACACAGTGAAAAGTTGGAACAATGTACCTGTGTGTCATTTTTTTGCATATCTAGCTTAATTCAATGTGACTGAAAAATACAAAATGTGCCAAATGTACACCACTATTGAGTGATATATTTAATAAGTCATTTACCACGAGATAAAAGTAGTTAATGGAACAGAATGCCTAAGGGGGGAAGGCTGAGTAGTGACATTAACATGTACTGGAAATTTTAAAGAGCATGGCAGAAGTGCTTGAGCTTCTCACGCCTCTCATTGTCATACTGTCATCTATTAAATATTTACGAAAAATGTTTTCAGTGTTGTTGTTAATCATTGTTATTTTACAGTCTTCCCAAGTGTTAGAACTTCAGACTCAGTTGGATGAGAGGACTGAAGAGGTATGAACTATTTTCTTGTTGACCTTAGCCTACGTTCACACTGCACCAGAAAAATTTTCAACCGGCTGAAAAAATAGAATGGATATTTCTTTCACACAGAACCATTCAATATTTTTGCTCTCTTCACATGAAACATTGAATGGCATCTAAATTTTGGTATGGTTAAGGTGGTTCCGTGTGAACAGAACACCTTAACACATGAATTTTCAGCTGGTCAAAAATTTTGCCCAGTGCCATGTGAGTGCAGCGATAGGTTAGTGAATTAGTTATAATGCATATTTTAGCATTTAATTATATCATCATTGCCCAGTGTTTCTCCCTTTATTGTAACAAAAGGAAGCATGTGTTTAGCTGAACCCTCTGTTGTTCTTCTGCCATTGCAGCTGTCTCATCTCAGGACATCAGCAGAAGCTTTGAAAGAGAGCAACACTGACATGAGCAACAAGGTGGAAAGCTACATGCAGAAATTAAAGGAGGTAAATCAATCAGATTAACCTTTAAATTTTGCAGATGGATATGGATGCTGATAAAAACTGAATGGAGACACATGTAGGAACTATTTACAAGTTATTATTGTAAATTTGTTCTGAGGTGCATTTGTAGGTGGAGATAATACAGAAGTGAAGGCACTGAAGCTTACTGGTAATTCAGTTGTTTTTTCAAAATTTATTTTTAGGCTCGTGAACAGTTGGTCAAGATTGAAGATCACTTCAAAACAGAACTGGCCTCACAGTCAAAGCTTGCAGTTCTCTATAAGGTGAGTGGCTTGTCAGCACTAAGTTAATTGTTGTAGCACGCAAAAATCCTGCGGATCATGAAGTCATTATGAGGGAAGTATGGGCGAGCGCTCTGTAATTTCCATTGTAATGTTCTTGTCAATGTTTTGAATTATGGTAATTTCCATTTTTTTTGGCCTGTTTGACTTAGTCATGCTCATTGTGTATGGTTTGAAAAGATCTCTTCCCCTTGAGGTGTCAAAGTTGTTTTTAACAGTGAAAACTGTTGCCATCACATCACATTCAGTACATAGGACGTGGATCTATACAGGTGGTTAAGGTGTGAATGGGTTCAAATGCTTGTTTTTGTTTCTGTCCCTGGGCCAGAGTTTAAACTACAGTATCATTATTCAATACTATTTCTGATACATCATTTATTGTTGTGTCACCCCTTTAAAGTCCTTTTGATTTCACAACTCTTAACCATGGTCTTGAAACTCATGAGTCTGGTCTTGTCGGACTTGAGACTGAAGACTCAATTCATGAAAGTTTCAGAGATGGAGATTCAAGTCCTGAATCTTGAAAATTGAGACACAAGGGACTGTCGACCATAAATTCAAGCAGTATTATACTTCAACAAACATCAATGATAGTCCAGACTTTCTACTGTGTCGTCATCTTACAGACAGTACTTAATTCTAACATCGAGTTGATGCCTTTATTAATATCTAGGATAGTGCTGATGAAGCCAAGAAGAAGAGTGAAGAATTGTTGACAGCTTTTGAGGAACTTCAGAAATTACTTAAAGAAGCAAATGAAGGTACATTAACGGTACAATATTACTTTCTGGACACTGTTCAATATTTTAAAGTAGGAAACATACTTTGGAAAGTGAAGGAAATTGCTTTAATTCAATTAATTACAATAAATATAGATGACTTATCACACCATTTTCAGGTATTCAGGCCAATTGTTTTTTCCTACTTATGACTTAAATGTTATTACATGTACATAGGTCGTCTTGAACTTGACAGTAGATTACAGGAGCAGGAGAATTCACATGCGGAAAAGACTAAAGATTATGGTGAGTGCCTTTCAATATGCCAAATATTACCTCAGGGTTCAAAGAAAATCATTTTTACAGCTTGCCATTCGGAATCATTTTTGCCCAAGTCATTTCAACCTTTTCCAGAATTGATTTATTTTCCTTTATTTGAATTGCTCAAAAAAGACACTGAGTTAAAAACAAAATTTTAGCAAAATTGATGATCGGACACTACTTTCTTTGCACGCTGTACCTTCTGAATCTTTGAGACCTATTCCATTGTATTTAACTCGAAGACGCTGAGTAATTATTGATGATCACATATTAACCTTCCACACGTATAAAAATGTTATCTCAGGCTCTATCATTATATTTTTACAGAGGAGAGGTTGAGTAAATTGGAGAGAGAGCTGGAGAATGCAAATGACCTACTAGCTGCAGCAAGACAAAGAGGTAAGAACAAAATTGAAAAGAAGTGCTTGCAAAGTGTGAGCGACCACAGCTTTCTTGAGGAGTTTGAATTGTTTATCACTTAAGCTCATTTTGGTTTTGTTGTAGATATTATTTTTGCTCACTTATTTTACCTAAAATTTCACTAGTTTTGCTGTGTATTCATTGGCTTGTTTTATCACTGTCACTTCATCTTCAGGTGTAGCTCCTTTGACACCAGCTGAGCTAAGCACTCTTTCTCCCACTGCTGCAGCTACAAGTTCATTCTTAAAATCTGGAATGACACTTACACAGGTATGTACATGCTGTAGTCCTTAATATCTATTATGTTATAATAGTGTCGAGGCATGGAGGCGCAGGGTTCAAGCCTTGCCCATTACAATGTTTCCTTAGACAATTAACTTTGCTCCACTTTGTCTCTCTTCACCCCGGGGGGGCAACCCTGTGATGGACTAGCATTCTGTCCATCGGGGAGTAGCAATACTCCTAGGCATGCTTCGTGCTAAGGAAACTGGGATAAGCTGCGGCCGTTTGGGCCTTTGGCTGGTGTATGCCTTTACTTATGTTATAATAATGTGGCTCTATCCATACTGCAAATTGTTGTGCAGTATGTCACAATGAAGTTGTGATCTGACAGAAAGTTAGCATTAAAGCCTATTCAGATGTACATGTATCCATCGTGCAAGTAAAATGTCACTAAAAAGGAGATATTATGTTGGGCCTGGTTAAACATTTTTATTTGGCAATTCTGGGTTGGATAATGTTTGAGTTAAAGTACTGCTCAATAGTATAATAATATTGTAAATGAACAAGCATACTTTTATGCCTAATTTAACTTGATTCAAACTCCTTATAATTAACCAACAACAGGTCTCTTACGTTTGAGCAGTGCTGAAAAATGGTTTGTTCATATGCATAATGATCCATTCCACCGCGTGGTGGTCATTTTTCACATGCAGACCACCAGTGTTGACATGCCTGACCCATGCCAACAACATAAATCTTTTTTATCCTGTTCTTTAGGTTACCTTGCATGTTGTACAGTGTTGGTTTCTCTAAATGAAGTGCTTTAAAACCAACACTGCCCCATATGGTCCAATGTTGTTGGATCAGTGGGGTTGAATAGTGCTTTGGCTATTTGTATTTGTGTTGGCTCTTACACACCTTGTAAAGTGAGATTTACAAGTCACATTTTTACACAGATGAAAATGGAGGGTAAAATGCTGCAGCTGGGCAGAGTCAGCCCATTACAGATTCAGCATTATGTTAAAAACTTTGCAAAGTTTCTCTTGTTGTAAAAAATGGTTTAGTCAGAATTCCTGTTTATTACAGATTTATAGCCAGTATGTAGAAGTCTCAGATTCATTACAGCAGGAAAAAGATGAAAATATTCGACTAAAGCAGTACTTGGATCAGATACTAAAGGTATATTATTAGTAGTAGTGTAGTATTTCATTGTTTTAATCAATTTAATAGAGGCAGTCACGCAGCTGGTTGAAATGAGTTCATTTGTCAGGGACATCTGAAATCCAAAAACAAATCTTTGCAGAAATTGAAAAAAAGTCTTCTCCCCACATGTAATAGATTGAAGGGAACACAGGCACAGATTCACACTAAATAAATAATATTAATTTTGCTTTGTACTCTTGTAGGAAATAGAGGAGAAGGCTCCTGTGCTTCAACAGCAAAGAAGAGACTATGAACAGGCTTTAAACAGTGTTGATCAACTTTCCAGAAGGCTTGATACAGCCCTTGTGGTGAGTATTTTTAAAACATGTCAGATCATTAGGGAGTGAAATGTTTTCATTAGACAAGGGGATGCTCACTCTTCCTTTGCTTTGAACATATTGTCATTTTTTAGGTGAACAAGTATCCTTTATCCTGGTTCAATCATACTCTACTTTTACTTAGTATTCAGTACTTTCACATTCCTGCTGTACAGCTGTAGTACTTTAACATCATTGATTTTAATATTATAATAGTGCATAATTGTCACTATGGTAGTCTATGACAACAATGGCAGTAACACCAACAAAGGAATGTAAAGTTTAGTGAGCAAAGCCATAACTCTGTTTAAAATCTGTTCTTAGGGTAAACCTTTGTCTCTTGTGGACGGTAAGGCCTGGGAAAAAGAGGAAATTGGGAATCAAACTTGTTTGAATACTGGCTCAACCTAAGAACATATTTAACCTACAGCTGTACGCTGTACAACAATCACACTTTTTGGTACATCTCTTTGCTATCCACTGCACGACTTTCATGTGAAATGTCCCAGTGGCACATTTCGTGTAGGACGTTAACTAATGGCAGAGTTAATTCTCTTTTTTTAAACTTGAATGGAATCCCCAATAATCTGATTCAAGAGAAATTCACCTACATCTTGACAAATTGAGCAAGTTGCAGTAAGTTTGAAGAAGTCTGAAAGAATGCAAATTCACAGCCTTGGAAATGTTACATCTGCTGTCATGATCTTGGTTGCAAGCTTAATCCTTTGAATCTTAATTACAAGTTCCCATCTTTTCTCTCTGAACATTTCCGAACATTTCCTGTAGGAGTAGTGGGAGAAGTTTTTGAAGTACCAATAAGATTCATCTCTTGTGGTCATATTCTTACATGTAAATCTTTTGACTCCTCTGTGTAATAAAGCATTGATTTTACAATGGAGAAATTAAGTTCTTGATCACTCTTAGGGCTCTAAGGGTTAAGCTTCCTATTATTTATGGGATGAAAGCAACTTGTTAACCCTAGAAGCCATCCATTCTTCTTATCATTATTCCATTTTCTGTATTTGATTGTTTTCGTTGATGCAAACAGTGACCCCTTACCTTATTATTGACTTATTACGTAACTGTTAATTGGGTTAATTTTCACAGGAAAATGAGGAGTCTAAAGTATATGCTGATGAGGCTTTCAAGAAAAATGAGCACTTGAAGAGAGAAAATGACAGACTGAGGAATCTGTCTGCTGATCTTAGTCAACAGGTCTGTTCAGCAAAGTACATTCATCCACTTCCCATATCTTGTAGTAAATTTACGCCTCTCTGCTTTGTGGTTCATTAATTATCTCTCACTTTTAACCTTCAATTTGGTGATAAACTATGAATTGTAATTCCTCTTGAGAATCTATTAGGATGCATGAAAAAGTGTTACCCACCACTTTGTTTAACAGTGATACTCATAATCTGATAAAGGTGATCTGAGTGAGAAAGGTCTTTGTGTGATAGCCTAAAGGCAGTGTAGTCTGATGGTCATGGAGCCAGATTTCAAGTTTTGAGGTCATGGCCAAACATGGTTGTGATGACTGATTATTATTTTAACAGGTGCAAGTACTGTTAAAAGAATGTGAGGAGGCAAGAGGAGGCGTGGTCAGTTCTGAAAGCAGCATGCACCCCATGTCAAGTGCAGAGGTGACCAGTTCATCACAAGTTATATCAGAACATCTGGTCACTTTCAGGTCAGTGAAACTACCAGTAGCTTATGTTAAGGGAAGCATTGAACACCCTACAGCAGCAATGATATATGCAACCACTAAAGATACATGTATCGCAGATAACCGTATCAATGAAAACAGAACTGGAAATAACTTTTTGCCACTTGTGTGTAAAGTTGGAGAGTGTGAAGGGGAGGCTTAAAGGTATTGACAACATGATCGAATGAAGATAACTAATCTGAGCTCCCCTAGCCCCTGCCTTAGAGCAGCCATTCTGTGGATTTTTAGGTAACACTGTTTCATTCCCTATGGTCAAATTTAGACACAATTTTTGGATGTAGTGTTGAGTAAAATGCTTTGAGACCATGTGAAGGCTGATACAGTAGCACCAATAAATTTTCTGTCTTTGTTCTCTGTGAATGTGCTAGCTGCTCTGTGCCTGCCAAAAATCCTTGATAGCTGACTTTCAGTGTGTTTGTAAGGAATGTTTTTGGCTTTGGCTGTTGTTTCAATGTTTGAGGTTGCATGTAAGCATGAAGTAGCTTCTACCTGTCACGTCTACATGTGCAGCTGTAGGTCTACTGGCATAGACAACATCTTGTGATGTAATAGTTTTATTAAGCAACTTACCGTTTTTGACTAACAGGAGCATTGAGGAGCTTCAGCAGCAGAATCAGAAGTTGCTTGGAGTAATCAGAGAATTAAGTGAGGAGAAAGAGAAAAGGGAAGGAGATAATGTGTAAGTTCAGAAGAAAAAAGCAGTTAGTTATTAAGTCTTGTGTACTACTCCATCAGGTGATCAGAAATTTCACCTTTTTTTTTCAATGATCTCAGTTTATCATCATAATTGCAATATTCTCTTATTTATGTTATTCAGTGTTGAAGGGCTGCAGAAGCAGTTAGATGTTTCATTGAAGGAATTAGAAGGTCTGAAGGAAGCAAGAGAAAGACAGATGCAGATGGTTAGTATAATTATGTAGGTTGTGATGAGTTCGACTGGCCATCAGACTTGGTTGAGACACTTTGTCCTCCCCCTCCCCCACCAAACAATTTTGTGCCGGTGCTCAAACTATCTGTAGGAAACAACGAGACAATGTTGGTTGGAGGGTCAGGGGAAGGGTCCATAATTTTTTTGTTTTCTATTCCATACCGCATTTGACAACTGTGTCTCAACAATTATTTTTGTCAGCAAGGTAGTGATATTGATCAAAAAATTAACATCCATACAGGGCTGCAAATAATTTCCCGGCTGGAGCCGGTCAAATTGTCCAATCAAACCTATTTTTGCTCGGACATATCCCATCTTTGGCCGGACAAACATCGATTACGTCTTGTTGCTATAAAAGTGCCCCCTCCTCCCTTCACATGATGTTAATTTAACCAACTGCCTCGCTTAAGTGGAAGGTGGGTGCCTGGGATACCCAGGGGCTTCCACTGTGGCCAGCCAGCCCCTAGATAGAAAAACTGCCCCCATGGCTGGCAAATCCCCGCAACCCAGCCATGAGCCCCCATTCCAGGCACCCGTCACACTGATCAAACAGTGGAAGGAAGAAAAATAGGGATGGGAGGGGGGGAAGACGCTAAATGAACTGCTCCACAGACCACTGCACAAACGCTCGATGAACAACTCGCAGATCCTAGCCATGTACAAAGCTACCACACACCATGTGAGCCTGCACTTATGGGATTGACCGCTGGATGCCCGCTACGCTCGTGGGCCGCTTGACCGCTAAGCTTGTAGACCGCTTGACCGCTAAGCTTGTGGACCGCTAGACCGCTTAACTTGTGGACCGCTCAACTGCTAAGCTTGTGAACCGCTTGACCGCTATGCTTGTGAATTGCTTGACCGCTACGCTTGTGAACCGCTTGACCGCTAAGCTCGTGGTGGTTAACTTAGTTAAATTACATTTAACCAAATTTAACCAACTGCCTCGCTTAAGTGGAAGGTGGGTGCCTGGGATACCCAGGGGCTTCCACTGTGGCCAGCCAGCCCCTAGATAGAAAAACTGCCCCCATGGCTGGCAAATCCCCGCAACCCAGCCATGAGCCCCCATTCCAAGCCGAAGGGACTCTCCGAGCTGACGCAGCCAGATCGGGAGAGGAAAGAGGGGCTCAGGGCTGGGGAAGCCCTATTTGAACTACCCAAGTCCCGAGGCACCCTACAAGGACAACTAGGAAAAGAGAAAGATACGCAAGAAAATACCTGTCAAGTGAGAAGGCTTGCTACCCCCACGATAGTACTGACGGGAGTGTGAATATAGATCTGATACGCATCGCTGGACCATCTGCCAAGTGTCTTGATGAGGTGATCTGGTAAGCCACGAGAGGCTGCTGAAGTAGCAGCGCCAATGCGGAAGCTATGACCGGTGTAGCAACCAGTGACCCCAGCAGCGGAGAAGATAGACTGAATACTGGATGTCAGCCATTGGCGATGTAGAGGGGTGCCATCAGAGAGAAGGAAGAGTGGGCCAGGAGTTGAGCCACGGACGTGTAGATACTGGGTAAGGGCGCGCACAGGGCAGAGATCACGTTTACCAGCACCAATGTAAATATGGCAACCTTGGCGAAAGGGGTCCGTCTTAGAGCACTTAATATGAATCCTGAAGCTGCTAGGATTGACTAGGGAATCTGCTTGGACATCACTGACAGCAAGGTGGATGTCAGGATTGAAGGAGAGTTGACAGTAAACTCACCCGCACGTAAGAAACCAAAAACCCGAGACAGCAGGCAGCCCAAAGCATTGTATGGTTGTAGTCAGAGAAGTTCAAGGACTGGAAGATAATGTGCATCAGCTCGATTGTGATGGGTTGGCGCTGACGCTTATTTGAGCCTTGGTGACGTTTGATGCCCCGCAACACCCGCTGTAACCGAAGGCAACCAACCAGCGGAGAAGGATGACCCTCCTCAATGTGAAGGGACCGAATTGCTGAAAGGTAAACCTTTATGGATGAATGGTGAAGAGTATCAGCAAGATGACAGCAGAAACGGATGAGCACGTCTTCACTGGCTGGAAGAGCTGATCCCGAAGGAGACAGGCTATTGTCCTGAGCACAGAAATCCAAGAAGCGGCGTTGGGCAGAAGCATAGACTTTCCTAGTGGAGGGGGCAAGACCCTGAGTCAAATAGAAGTGGTATTTATCTGACAGCGAAGATCCAAGTCCGAGAGGAGCTGCTGCGGAATCTGGGTTGGAATGGAGTCTGCAAGAGGAGCTAGCCGGCGAAAACGCTGAAACTGAAAGCGAGACAGGGAGTCAGCAATGGGGTTAGACTTCCTTCTAACTGGGGAGGCAGTGAAGGAGAAGGAGTGACGAGCTGCCAACAGGGACAGATAGCGAACCAAGGACATGATGGTAGGGGCTCTTGAAGTGCCAGACCGCAAAATGTCCACCACTGAGCGGTTATCTGATAGGAAGTTGACCCGTTTGGAGGCCCACTGGGGGCCCCAGAGGTAAGCTGCCACGACGATAGGGAAAAGTTCCTTGTACTCGATAGACTGAGAGACCTGTGATGGGAGCCATGCACCTGAAAACCAGTGACCCTGGAAGACTGCTCCATAACCAAGAGCCCCAGAGGCATCTGAAGAAACCTCGAAGTCAGGAATTGGAGCCCACTGGGGGTACTGAAGAAAGCTGCAACCATTCCAAGACTGGAAAAACTCTTGCCACCAGGCTAGGTCAAGAAAGAACTCTTGATTGAGACGAATCGGGTGGTCATCGCGTCGAAAGGCACATAGTAGGTTAATCATTCGGCGCAAGAATGAGCGACCTTGGGGTACGACTTTGCAGGCATGCTGAAGGTGACCTATTAGGGACTCAGATCCTTGCGTTTACACCAACGCTTTTGTGACCAATCTTCCAACAAGGCAGTTATCCTATCAAATTTGTCCTGAGGAAGGCGTGCCAGCAGATTAAGAGAGTCCAGTTCAATGCCCAGGATGGTTAGGCACGTCGACGGCCCTTCTAGTTTGTCTGGATGGAGGGGGATGCCAAGCTTAGAAAAACAGTTAATTGACCTGTCCAGATTATGTTGACAAACAGAGGAGCCGGGAGGGCCAAGAGTGTGGAAGTCATCAAGGTAATGCATCAGGAAGGTGACATCGTAGTTTTGCTTGGCCACCCACTCCACTAAGTCTGCTATACATGTGAAGATATATGGAGCTGACCTGACACCAAAAGGCAGGACCATATCAACATAAAAGGCACCACGCCATTTCATACCCAGCAACTGGCGATCTTCTGTATGGACTGGCACAATACGGTATGCATTTTGCACGTCAAATTTCGCCATGAGGGAACCACGCCCCAGCCGCATTATGCCTGCAATAATGTCATCTACCTTCATGTACTGCAGAGAATAATCCTCGCCCGCAATTCCGTCGTTGACACTGTGCCCGCAGGGCTAGACAGGTCCAGGATAAGACGCCATTTGCCAGGTTGGTGGCGTTTGGGGATGACGCCGAAACGACTCACGTGGAGGACAGGGAGGGGAGGCTGGGAGAAGGGGCCCGCCACCCTGCCTGACTGAACTTCCGACTGCAAGTAATTGTCAATGACCCGAGGGTTCAGGAGTGCTGAAGCCATATTCCCTGTTGCCGACTTCAGGGAAGTACTGTAATTGAAACCTAGGTGAAAACCATCGCGAAGGCCTTGGACCACATATGCAACTTTGTCTGGGTTAGGATGATGACAGAGTTCATGCTGGAATCTATCCACATTGATGGGAGTAAGCTGAGAAACTGGTCTTAAAGGACAAACAGCTGGAGAACACAACAAAGAACTGGAACTTGGCAGACCCTGCTGCTGAGAAGGTAACACAAAAGGAGAACGCAACTCTAACGCTGAAAAATTACCATGAGAACCAACGTGAACAGGAACAAAACTATTTACAGTTGAATTGGCTAGAGGTTGCCTAGCGACGGCGGAGACCCCCCTTTGACTGAGAAGGGGAGCGGGACCGTTCTCTCCGCGCGGACCGGTGAGGGCAGTGGATGCGGGGGTGGTCCCCGTGGCACGATTCACAGGAGTGACGAAACCGACAGCGACCAAAGGGCCAGCGACAGCGCCCGTCGTTCCAGGAGGGCAATACTGGCTAGACCGGGGATTGCCTGAAGACCCAAGAGGCTCTGATAGTGACGAGGCAGAGGAAGTTGAGGAGCCTGAAGCAGTTGAGGTGGTCACTGGAGATCTGGTGTGAAAGTTGTAGAGGTCTGGGTGCATGCGAGACCAGTCGGTTGAACCTGAGGCTGCGGCTTCTTTTCGGAAGGCGATGTCGTAGTGGAGCCACGATTTGTCAGAAAAGCGCCTTGCTGTCTGGATGATGAGTAACTTGTACTGATTTAAATCTTTCCAGCGAGAGGGGAAGGTGTGGCAAAGAATCATAGAAAAGATTGTGAAGGCTTCAATCCAGGTGATGATGTCTGCTATTTCAATGACCCGTTTCTTCGACCCTGATACCACCAGTTTTCCCTCCAAAAACGCTTGGGGTTCGATTTCTTGAGCTCTGATGTTGTCCGGAAGGAGGTCAGCCAAGTCTACAAAAAGCCCTGCGGTAATTTTAGAAACAAGCTTGAAGGGGACTGGAGCATAGCCAGGGCCCACCACAAATGCTTTATTGAGGTTTGGAAGCGTAGAGGACTCGGTTCCGGTCGCGCCACCACAAGAGTCCCCAACCACTACAGGCAAGTTGGCGGAGGACGTGGCGGGAAGAGAGGAGACTACCGAAGGACCGCCAGATGAGCTGTACGTTGAAATAAATGAGGGCACAACAAGCGTACCTGAAGACTGGGAGGTAGAGCCAGGGGTACTGGAGCTAGAGGATGCCGGAGACTGCGTAGAAGTCGAAGTCGAGGAGAGAGGAACAGACGCCGCGGCCGTGTTCGAGTTCCGCCACTGGAATCTCGAAGGGAAGATAGCAGCGGAGGGAGCGATTCCGCGAGAGCTCTTGAAATTGCCTGGGCTAGCGCGTTGGTGTCCGGCAGGGAAACAGGTTGACTTGGCGGAGAAGCCGAGGTGTTAACTGTAGGAGCTGGGGTAGAACCGCTAGAAGAAGGCGAAGACGCGGTAACCGGGGAAGACATCGTTGACAGGCTGTTGTTCGTGGTACGCATCCTGAACGAACGTGACGACCCGCACGCTTTGAAAAATAAATGAAAAAAAAAAAAGGATACAAGAAAAAGCACACTGTAAGACTGACGCTCAAAGATCGCTAAAAAAAAAGGCGAAAGACGCTAAATGAACTGCTCCACAGACCACTGCACAAAC